CTCTTGTCCAACCTTGATTGAATCATGGCAATGGCATGCTCAAGCTGCCTCACGTTGGCTCAGGAAAGCTGGTGAATGTTTAGGAATTTTGCAAGCCAGTTGCATAGCCACCTATACTGTCTAAACATAGTATTTTCATAAATGCAAATGTTAACCAACATTCATGTCAAAACTACTCATTCACTAATTGCAACTAAAGTTTGGCCATGGATAAAAGAACATGGCAATAATAAATAAAAGCATACATTAAGAATCAGTTGGCTATATGGAATTTATAGCGAAGAATATTATTTTATTAATTTGAAATTATGTACTACATATCCTTCATAGTCTTTATATCAACAAACTTTTTAAGATGTTAAATATCTACCCACATATCACTGAATAATGGACAAAAAAACTTCCACAGAGAGGAAGAGGTTTCAAGAGTTTATTTATTCAGATATTGTGTGCTGTTGTAGTTGTTTTTCTCTGTGTTGATGATAAAGCTCAAACATACAATACAAGGGTTATTTACAGCCTGATGAGCCATGACTCAAATTTTCATGCCTTTTGGGCCTCTCTATTGAGTTCTAGATTTGTATAGCTATCAACTGACTCAATAGCTCCACTTGGGTGCTTAATGGTTTCTGCAAACTTGTTATGGTTTCCCTGAGTACACACTGCTCAGGCCAAAACTGAAACAGCTACCTTGATTCCTCACTTCATTTCTTGTTATTATGTTAGCAACTCCTCTATGTCTGGTCCGCTCGGGCTATGGAAAGAAAATACCATGGGCTAGGAGGCTTAAACAGCATGTATTTATTCCCTCATAGTTTACAGGCTGGAAGTCCAAGATCAAGTTGCTAGCATGGTCAGTTTCCGATAAAAGCTCTCTTCCTGGCTAGACAGCTGCCTTCTCAAAGTGTCCTCACATGGGGGGAGGGGGTAAATGTGCTCTCTGGTGTCTCTTCTTATAAGGGCACTAATCCTATCATGGCCTCATCTAAACTTAATTAACTCCCAAAGGCCCATCTCCAAATACTATCCTATTTAGGGGATTATGGCTCTAATCTATAAATTTGGGGGCTTAGGAATGACCCAGTTCAGTCCATAGCACTCTATCCTAAATTATATTTCTGGCCACTTCATCTCCACTCCTCTCCTAGCCCAATTCACTATTGTTTCTACATGCATTTTGCTAAAGTCTCCTAACTTGTCCACCTGTGGCCCTACTCCCTTCTGTGTGACTCATTTTTCACATAACAGCTAGCCTGAGTCTTTAAAACTGAAGACTAGACTGTAGACTCTTGGCTTAATACCCTCAGTGGCTTCCAAAAACCTTATCATGACCTTCATGCCCAGCCTTCCATGAATTTCTATCCCTTTCATTTACTATAACTACATCCCAGTCACACTGGCCCACTCACTATTCCTTCAACAGGCCAAGCCAGCACCTGCCTTGAGGCCTTTCCAATTGTTGTTCTCTGTAGCAGGAATGGTTTGCCCAAAGAACTTCACATAACTGACTCCTTCTTGTCAGAGTTCAGACTAGTTATCACTGTTCCAGCAGGGCCTTTTTTTGAAATTCATCTAAAGCTCTAAAGTAATACTATTCCCCTCTTGTCTCTCTCCTACCCTGTTTATTGCTCTCTATATATTAGGGAGGCAGTATGGCACAGTGGTGAAGAAAACAAAATCTGTAGGCAAACTACTCTATACCAATATCAACTGTGTGACTTTGGTCAACTTAACCTTTCTGTGCACCAGTTTCCTCATGTATAAAATGGGATTGATGTCTGGCTTAACCAAATTAATACATATCAAGTATGTAACACAAAATAAGTACTTAATATGTGTCCTCTGTTATTAATTACTTTGTTTTATTTTTTCATAAAACTTACCATTATCTTAGGCCTCCCCGGTGGCGCAGCGGTTGAGTGCTGGGTTGCGAAGCTGCCCACAGCCTCTGCAGCGCCGGTTCGATCCCCAGCTGCTCCCTGGCCACCAGAGGAGGGTCCCACATGGTGCGCAGAACTCTCCTGCTGCCCGCTGCTCCCCTCAGCAGTGTACTTCGGTCCTTCTGCCTGCTCTGCTCTCCGCTCTGGCTCTGGTGAATTCTCTCACCCTCCCGCGCTTCTGACTGTACCCAGTGCTTGTAGAAATAAATAAATAAATAAATAAAAATAAATCTTTAAAAAAAAAACAAAAACTTACCATTATCTGAACTTAAGTTTGTTCGTTTATATGCTCATAGTCTACCTCTTCCCTCAACTGAGATGTGAGGCCTGTGAGAGCAGAGAATTTATTTTGTTTTGTTTGCTATTTCCTCAATCTCTGGAACAGTGGCTGGCACACCACAAGCAGTTACAAAGCATTTGCTGACTAAGTAAATGGACAAGGAGCAAATGTCAGAAAAGCCTTACAGCACCTGGGGAGTGTGGAGTACAGCTTCACAGACAATAGCCTGAAACTTAGATGTTGGTGGTAGGCAGGCACTTTGCAAAACTAAGCATAAAACCTCTTGCTTAATCACTTAAAAAAAAAAAAAGCTTCATTTGGGACCTCATGGAACCAGGCTTTTCTGCAGTGATTGTGTCCTCCTTCCTTACTTTCTTAGCAGTCAGCATAGTACATGTCACAGAAAAGGTGAGTGTCAAGTATCTGTTGGATAAACAGTCTTTAACAAGAGATTGTAAATCCTATAACATTTGTGTAGTGTTTACAGTTTACAAAGCAGGTCAATATTTCTGATAACACTCATTTCCTCAGCATAGACAGCGCAATATTCTGTGTGGGTTACTTGGTTGAAGCTATGCCCTAGAAGCAGCATGCTACTAATCAAGTCATACCCCGGAAGTAGACAGGACCATACCAGAAAGGCCAGATTCCAGAGATGGACCTACAAATACTTTAGTCACCTTAATCTCCGATGACATTGGATGTTGCTCATTATCAGAGTGAATACCAGAAATGGGTTTCTATTGGCAAAACAACCATTTATTAATGATCATGATGACTAGTAGGAGATGAACTTTTACAAATTCAAGGTGGGGGAATTGGCTAAAATATTTTAGAGACTCTCTCTGCTCCGGAATAAAAGGGTTTAAAAATTCAAGGGATCTTAGGAGATGCCATCTGAGGTTTCCTCCCTAGTGGCTCTACCATTAGTCTTGAAGATAATCTGGATTCTGGTTCTGGAAGATAATCTGGGTTCTGGGCTGATTATGCTAGTAATGGAATCCTGCCTCTGCTGCATGCACTTCTCAACTTTATGGTGAAAGGGATGGTCAGAGCGCCTAGAACTGCACTCCCTGCAGTAGTAGTCATTAGTCACATGTGACTACGGCACAGTGAAATATGGCTAGTCCAGTATGAAAAAAATACCCAATTTTGAAGACAGTATAAAACATGTAAAATAGCCCATTAATAGCTTTTATATTGAATGTACGCTTAAATGACTATTTCTTGGACATATGGAGTTAAAATATTAACTCCACCTCATTCTCTTTACTGTCATTAATTTGGATACTAGAAATTTTAAAATTACCTGTGGCTTGCATTGTATTTCAATAGGACAGCATGTTGACCTAGGGCAGAAAGCTCTGCCTTCACCAAGTTTATAAAACAGATTAAATACTATTTGTATCTGTCTTGTTATAAATAACTAGTACATTTCTGAGTAAGGTGCGAAATTGTTCTGAAATTTGCTTTTATTTAATCTTATTAAGAAATTGGGAGGTCTTTATCCACTTTAAATCCTTTCGACTATAAAGAACCTGAAAGTTAGACGACCAGTGATTCGGGTCAGCTGTCAACGATGAGGTTTATTAAGTAATGACGGCTACTACCATCAGGCAAATGATATGTGGGGGGAAATATAGTTTATTTTGTGTCGTGAAGTTTTAAGTTATTATGTATATTCTCTTTACTCTCATAACATCCTATTAACTAGACACCATTAATATTACTGACAGGCACTATTAATATGAAGAGTCCCAACTTTACTTGGCTGAACTGTCACTACAGACTTTCAATATCTAGGATTAAACCAGAATCAACCACAATTGCTTTCAGCCGCAGCCGCCGTGCTGCACGACTTCGGCCCACGTGGCTCAGCCAATCAGGGCTACGAGGGTAAGTGACGTCACCTCCCCACACGTCCTCTCTAATTTCCATGCGCCTTTCCCCGCCCCGCCCCCTTACTATCGGTTACAGGCGACCGGCGACCATTTTAGATTCGGGCGGAAATCAAGTTTAAAAGGCCCGGGTACAAACCTAAACATTTAAATTAAGAAAGATGTGCGTTCTCGTCTCCAAGGCCTAGCGAGGAGACATCTTCACAGATCAACGAGGCCGCTGGGAGCCGTGAGTGAAACGCGGGGCCGGCCCGGCGCCCACACTCAAGATGGCGCCGGCCTGACAATCACCTGTGCGGCCGCTCTATCTCGGTTCCGGGTTCGTCCGCCTCAGTGGTGGCGCCGGAGGGGTAAAGGCTGGCATTCTGTTCGGTTTCCGGACCCGTCTCTATGGTCTCGGAGGGCCCGGACCCCAGAAGATTGTAGGTGTAGTGGCCACAGCCTCACGGGGGAGGCGCGGGTGGTTGGTGTCAACTGGGGGCGAAGAGGGGACCGGAGCCAAGACCTAGGCCGCCTCCCCCGTCGCCCTCCCGCAGGTAACCTGGAGCCCAGCGCCGCGTCCTCCGTCTGCGGGCCTGGGCAGCGGGGGAAGGGAGCCGGGCTGGGCCGGGCGCGGAGGCGGTGGGCGCGCGCCCCACTCGCGGGTCCGCGCTTGGTGCCGCGCGGGGGCGAGCTCAGCTCTGCGCCGCTGCCGGTTGAGCTCGGCTCTCCGCCTCCGCGCAGCCTCCCCGGCTTTTGCTGGCGCCCCTCCAGTTGAGCTTCGCTGGCGACCCCCACCGGGGGCATTGCTGGGGCGCAGCGCCGGGCCTCGCGGGCAGGTGTGGAAGGTGAGGGGCCCGTGAAAGCGAGCGCAGCCCCCGCCCTCAGCGGCCCGGGGTCGACCCTGCTCACCCTGGGCCACCGGTCCTGGCGGGCGGGTCGGTGCCGGGCTGCGTGGCTCCAGCCCCAGGAGTTGGGGTCGCACTCCCCTTGGGGAGCTGCCTGCCTTCCAGAGGCCAGGCTGTCTCCTATCTCAGCGTAGTGCTTTTGATGTAGAATAAAGACGAAACAGTTCTCAGAAGATCATCTTTAGAACACCGTATGACTTTGGAATCACTGTTGCTGCCTTTTCTAAGAACTGTGTGCATATCCACCTAACATCTCTTCGCTGAAATCGTACTTAGTTCTCTTGTTTCGTAAAGCCTTCATGATGTATTGCTGATCAGCTAGCAGTGCTGGACTGAGTTCAGTAGAGTATGTATACCTGCAACAGATCAAAGCAAAGAGCCCCGAAAAATGTTAGCAGGTAACAGTGAGAATCCGGCCAGGGTATCTTCAGGACTCCAATGTAAATCACTATCTTTGGAACTTTTCAATATAAAGGAGCTAGGACTAAGATCATCCTGATTAATTGTTGGGAAATGAAGGAAGGAAGAGCGTCCCCCCAGAGGACACAGCTTTCTTAGTTGAGTGTACCAGTTGCCCAGTGACCTCCACAAGGGCTTTCATAATCCACAGGTGGCCCGGAAACTTGATGTGCTTCCACGGAAGCTAAAGAGTGGAGGAAGAGAGATGCACACATTTTTGAAGAGATGATCTTGATACATATTCAAGACTGAACTGTCTATTCAACATTTTACTGTAGAGAGTGACACTGAAAATTAGCAAAATACCCTTTTCTACCATCTTGTGATTTTAAGTTTCAAAATTTAAATGATTTCATGCCTCAAAACAAATGAGAGCATCTCAGAAGTTCAAGTGTTAGTGTTTTTCTCTCTTAAAGTAAGTTCATTGTAGCCGAAATATCCTCCTGCGTCAGTAGTTTTTGTTAGAATGCAGTTATGTGAAGTAGCTCTTAGGATACAGTTGCTGTAAAGAATCAAGAATGACTGCTTTTAAGATATTTTCAAATTGCAGTCAACAATATGCATCCACTTAGTTACCCTCACTAAAGTTTGCACAGAAAATAGGATAAAATCCTACAATTCTAGACGCATCATGCGGATGGTGTTAATGTACATACTTTCTGAACAATGAAAATTTTCTCAAGAAAGGATGTCATTCCTTTTTAATTTTTAAGTGGTAGTTTAAAGTATTAGCCCCAAAATACATACTAGGAAACCAGTTATAACCTCTTTCTAAAGATTTTATATTTCCTAAACTCTTGGGTTGTAGTGGAATTCATATCCAAGGTTTATAGGTGATGTAAGGCCCAGTAGCCCCACAAGGAAGCATTTTGCAATTTAGAGATGACAAAGTTAAATGTCCACTGCTGCCCTCCGTTGACTTCCGTTCATTCAGAGGGAGAATTCCTAAAGCCTAGTGACTTTCTCGCCGCCTTTAGGGACTAATATTAAAACCAAAGCAGCATGATTTTCTGCCACGTGAGTTTATATTTACTTTCACTTCCTCATTCTCAATTTTCACTTAGGGTGTGTTGATTTTGAAAAGTCATATTTTGTGGCAAGATAAAGATGGACATTAAACTGTCTTCAGATGTACACTTTTCAGAGAGACGCTTCTCTAATCTATTCTCTAGTTTGGCTTTTGAGACAGGAGGGATTAAGAGAAGTAGAACTCTGTATGAAATGGCAAATGGTTTCAGGGAAAACAGATCCATTCACGTTTACCCAGGGGTACAATGAGGCGTTGAGGGAGTAGATTTGAAGCTGGGCTTCCTGGACCCTTGGAGGCAGTAATGTGCCCTTATAAAGACTGTGCTACTCCCCAGAGTTTGCTTTTCCTTCTGCTGCTGCCAGCTGGTTTCCTCAATCACCAAATTTCTGCTTTTACATCACTTTGGCTAGTCATAGCCCCAACTCTACTTCATGGTGTCCTTTTACCTTCAGTTCTGCTGCTAATAGACAAAAACACCTCCCCTTCATTCAGATTTCTGGAAACAATCATCTGACTAGTTGAGTCCTTCACCCAAGCTTTGGTCCTAGAACTGACTGTGTGTGACTTGCCCTTTGGCCCTGGTAAACACTGGACTTATTAACTATGCCCAAGAAGAGAGGAGCAACATCCAGCTCTAATCTTGCCCCTCCTGGCTCAGCAGTCTGGGCAAGCACCTCAACTTCTTTATAGAGTGGAGGCATTCACAACAGTTGCTTCTCTCCGCGATCCTATATAAACAACTGATTTTATTTGTTGTCCCAGTAGAAAGGAGACAACATTTATTGAGATAATGAATAGTTGGCATTTTAAATAATCTAAACTTTTCTGTCATCCTTAAAAATTGCTAAGTAGGTGGATTTGTTACAAAGCTAATTTAGTTTTCTCACCCTCAGAACATTGTTGGATTTTGAAAATTCTCAGTTGTAGATAGCTTCAGCCCTAGTACACATTATGTTCTTTATACAAGGAAATATAGGGGTCTATAGGTTCTTTCAATGATCTGTTTTAGGTATGTGTCTTAAGTAACCTTTTATATTCTGGTAACAGAGAATGTTGAACTTCACCAAAGTGGGAAGAAAAAATCTAAGGGGAGGATCAATATGTAATAATTTTTAGGTTAATATTCCTCCAAAGAATGCAGATTTTAAACTGAAAATGTTTAAAGCCTACATAGAATTTTTGACTTACTTAGAACTAGCAACATGCCATATTGCCAGCATAATTACCTTAATCAAGATGAGGAATTGTATCCATTCCCCCCAGAGTTCCCTTATGCCCCTTTAATTTTCCCCTTCTCCCTCTGACTGGGCCCCACTGATGTATTTTGTATTTTTTTTTAATTGTAGTGTAGCTTGCCTTTTCTAGAACTTCATGTCTGGCTTTTTATTTTTATTTTTAGCATTGGAGAAGATACATTTAGCAATTCTTTTCATTTTCTATTTTTAAAGTTATGGTAAAGCAAGAATTGAAAAGTACTACAGAAATTTTCAGAAACAAGTTTTATAACCTTTGAGCCCAAATTGAAAAATAGACTCACATCAGTAGTCGAGCTCTTGGCTGCTTAAGGTAAAGGTCACAATCTGGCTATTCTGAGGCGCAGTCCTGGTTGAAGTCTTGGGACTCGTGTCACCTTGAGAGTGCACGCCCTCCTGTAGCAGGTGCACGACTCCTCCCTACCAACCCTGCCCCTTGCAACATGTGAGTTCAAGAAAAAGATCTGTTCTCAGTGCAGGTGATGAGTGGTACTTGTGTGAATTCCCCACCCTGACCCTCACAGAACTGTTACCACTTTCCCCTACTTTTCCAGTCTGTGTTACAAGTATAGATTTCCTTTAAAACAACTTTATTGAGGTATAATTGACATCATAATCTAAAGATGTTTAAAGTTTACATTTTTATAAATTTTGATGTTTATAATCACCTGTCACCATAATTACCTTAATTTTTCCTTTATTTTTCCCCTTCTCCCTCTGACTGGGCCCCACTGATGTATTTTGTATTTTTTTAAATTGTAGTGTAGCTTGCCTTTTCTAGAACTTCATGTCTGGCTTTTTATTTTTAGCATTTGAGAAGATAGGTTTAGCACTTTTCTCCTTTTACTGAGCATGACTTTGAAGAGAAGTGAGATTTCACCTTTATGTTTGCTGTCATTTGCATTTCTTCAGTGAGTTGCCTTGTCCCCTTTCTGGTTATTCTGGTGTGTCAGTGTTTTACTTGGTTCACGTGAGCTTTCCACTCGTTGACATGTTTCTCATCATTGTTACAAATATTCTCCAGTTTGTATTGTTTTCCTTTATAATTTTAGGTTATTTTAGACATAGAAATTTTATCTGTTTGAATAGTCATATTTTGCAGAATTTCATAGTGGATGAGGGAGCATGAATGGCTTTATTTATTTTTGATGACTTTTCAACTCTGAAAGTTCCAAGGGTGTGTAGGGGGCTTGGGAGAGGGACAGCAACGCTTGCCGCTGTTTGGTTAAGCGCATTTTCTCTGGAGCTGTTAGTTGCTAATTGACAGACATTTCTGGCAACTTGCTGTGCATTTACTATTTGTATTTTCAAATGACCTGGTTTATGGGGATTGCAGAAACTAGTAGGCTTAAATGATGGTGCCTGGATATCTTGGGTCTCTCTTGCTCATGGTACAGATAGGGATTTAATGTTTGAAACATGTTTTCTGTTTTCTTTCAGGTCTGCTTGGCTCCGAGGAGCTGTAACCCTGTTTCACTGCATAAGGGATGGGATCAGAGAACAGTGCTTTGAAGAGCTACACGCTGAAAGAACCCCCGTTCACCTTACCCTCTGGACTGGCTGTTTATCCTGCTGTGCTGCAAGATGGCAAATTTGCTTCTGTTTTCGTCTATAAAAGAGAAAATGAAGACAAGGTTAATAAAGCTGCCAAGGTACAGTAGTAGTTAATCACTTAATAGTATTTTTTATTTTCGTATTTTCTATTAAGTATGAAATTAATGAAGGTCAAAGAAGAAGGACCTAAGGAATAGTATTTTTATTCATGTGCTCTAAAAACACATCTTCTAAACCATAGCAGTCCTGATTTCATGGAATATCTCCAGCTTGTATGTCACGGTCAGATACCACAGCCATAGCCCAAAAGCTTTATATAAAATTCAGTGATGGCTTGATCATCCTGCTTAATTTTTTTTTTTAGGGAGGTGACTTTAAATGGCTAATATAAGGTAAAGGGAGTTAAATCTAGCTTAACAAAACTGCTGTATTGACAACACTTTAATAAAATAAAATATTCCAGGAACTTTCCTGTATATTTCTTTCCCAAGGAGCTTGCATTCTATTTGAGAAATGCGTTATGGTTCTTCCTGATGCTGACATTTTCATTTGGTTCCTCTCCTCCATTTAAAACTTTCCTTACGGTAAATCAACTTCTCTACCTTGTCAGCTCTTTTAAAAACTATTCCCTTTATAACCATAATGAAAACCTGGTTTTCTTAGCAGGCTTCTGAACATCATCCACTTAGAACAACTTCAGAAGTGGCCCCTTTCCCTCAGGTACAACAGGGCTGCCCGTGGAAGGGCCCTTTGCCGGCTCTCACCAGTTTCACACGTCACTCTCATTCTCAGCTGATGCTCATAACCACTCCACCTCTGTGCCCAGACAAAACTGCTGCCAAAACCACTTGTGTGACCGTCAGATCTATATTCAGCCTGTTGTTGACTGTCTCCACCTGGGTATTTGACCAGCACCTCAAGTGCAGGTTTTCTAACCTGGAAATCAGTCTCCCTTTCCCTTTCTGCATTTTATTCCTAAGTTAATTTCCAGACAGTGGGTATTTAAAGATAGAATGTAAAGCTAGAATGCAAATCCCCTTGACTTGCATTTTAGGGGAATAAGGAGGAATATTTCTCCCTGAAAATTCTTGCTCCCTTGTATATTATTCTGTTGTGTTTCTTTAACAGAGAAATTACAATATTCTGCCTATCTAAAAACTTGCAAGTGAATTTGAGCTACGGTTTAGAACAGTGAGCCAGTTAGCTCTGTGTGTGGTTTGCAAAGTGAAATATCAAATCAGAGGCAGCATAATAATGAGAAGTTAAGTGTCGAATTCATTCTCTAGGTAACTGAGTCATGACTGATTCCTGAAAAGTGGGAATAGTTTATATATTGAAGACTAGAAGCTCACACTTAACATCTGCTTATGGGCATAGAGAAGTATAAATATTGACAATTTTCCTAGTATTATTCACATTTAATAACGGAGGTCCTCATTTGAAATACTATTTTCAAAGACCAGTACCTGGTACCATGAATGGTTGCAACAGTGCAGTAACTTTGGGACAAATACTTTCTAAGGATCTCTTACTTTCAGGCACACTTACTCAAAAAGCTCTCCTTTCTCCATTTATCCCTTCAGTTGATGTTCCCCGAGTAATTATCCTACTTGCACTTAGTAAGTGCATCTTGTTGCTATTTCTGTCAGTTGAGCAGCAGAAGTTGCTGTTTCTATTTGATTCTTAACTGCTAATCATTGCTGAGAATTACTGCATAACTTATGCGTAGCATTGTGTGTGCTAAAAAGGAATGAAAAGTGTAATTCTTGCTACATGGCTATTCAGAATCATGCAATGGGTTAGCCCCCTCTCGCTCCCCCTTCTTTAAACAAACAAGGACACTGGTTTAGGCATTTCGAAATGCTGGGCATGTAGAGTTAGAAAATCAGAAGTGAAAATGACTTTTGTTACTTCATGTAGACATTTATTGACTGTATTTCCAGGCCAGCACTAAACCAGGCAGCTTTTCTTCTGACTCACTGGTCTGCCCTGAGTACTAGAAAGAGAATGAAAGTAGGTACAGAAAATCAAAGTAGCCCAGAGACATAAAAACTGAATAAAAAAATTTTTTGAATAGGCAAAAGTTGAACTGTTTCATGTTGGGTTTGAATATATTTTAAAGTGATTCTTAAAATGAAATATGGAAGGCTGCATAGTTTTACACAAAAAGTGTAGCTCAAAAGACTTTTATTAACAAGTTCTCCCAGTAACCACACTCATACAGCTGACCCACTAGCACAGTTCTCAACTCATCTGGGTCTTTGCTGTATTTATTAGCATACATATGATTACATTAAAGGCAGACATACAAATTAATAGTTCACAATTGCTAGTTAAAGAAATTTTCTTAACTATTTTTTATTAATTAGACTAACCCAGAGGAGGATAATAGCTTCCTTTTTAAGAATTAACAAAAAACCCTATTGGAGCTATATCTAAACTTAGCACAATTTGTAATTATTGTAAGAAAAAGTGATCATGGAATTGTCTATTCCTCACTTTCATTGTGCCATTTTTTTTTTTGCTTTATGTGTATATTTTATGCACGTAGACATTTGTAATTGTTACGTCTGTTTAGCGAATTGTCATTTTTATTCATGAAGATCTTATCATCTTTGGTAATACTCTGTCTTGAAATGCATTTTGTCTGATAGCAATATATTCACTCTGACTTTATCTTATTGTAGTCTACCCACTTACTTTCTATCAATTTACCTGTATCTGTTTATTTTTTAAATATGTCTTTTCTAGGAGCATATAGTTGGGTCTTCCTTTTTTCTCCATTCTTAATTGGAATGTTTAGATCACAATCTGTGCTTTTGTTTCCTTTTCCGTTTTGTCAGCTAGTTGTTTTTAGCACTTTGGTCAGAGTTCATAGCAGTAGTCATTGGGAGAGCCAGGCTTTTAGGCACCTCACATTGACATAATGAAATCTAAAGTGTCTGTAGAGCTATTTGAATGTTGGCAAAGTGAATAGTGTCAGAACAAGTCATAGATTCTTCTTTGCCTGATTTGAAGCTTGGCGGGTCAGGAAGCACAGGAAGGTAGGGAGCTGGAAAGGCCCTTGAGTACATAGGTACGCATTTTCTGACTTTTGCCATGATGTATATAAAACTATAAACTGGTTTTGAGTCATGAACTTCATCAACTTTTCTATTTGTATTTTTAAAGCACTTGAAGACACTTCGTCACCCTTGCTTGCTAAGGTTTTTATCTTGCACTGTGGAAGCAGATGGCATTCATCTCGTCACAGAGCGAGTGCAGCCTCTGGAAGTGGCTTTGGAAACATTGTCTTCTGCAGAAGTCTGTGCTGGGATCTATGACATACTGCTGGCTCTTATCTTCCTTCACGACAGAGTAAGTAACCTGGACATGGTCTGCCTCCCAGACTTCAGTGTAAACCAGGGCTCCTTAGGTGTGGTAGTGCTTGTGGTGTGTGTGAAGTTGTAAGTTAATCTTCTTATTAGAAAGCTTCCTGAGGGGGCCTTCCTGGTGGTGCAGGGGTTAAAGTCTCAGTGCTATCAAACTGTTGCCAGCAACTGCTGCTCCCCTCAGCAGTGTATTTCAGTCAGTCTGGTATTCTGCTCCCCACTCTATCTGTGGTGAATCCTCTCACCCCCTGCACTTTTGGCCTACACCCCAGTTCTTCTTGTATGCACAAATAAATAAAAATAAATCTTTTTTCAAAAAGAAAACTTCCTGAGAGAAAATAGCTCATTTGAAGGCACGAGAGATGCTAAGACACCTAATCCCTGAGTGGTTCTTTATAAAACTTCATTTCAGTTTACTATCATTTCCCTTTACCTAAAAATAACTATGACTGGTATTTGTTATTAAGACAAGATTAAAAATTTAACATGAATGCTGCTACACACTTAAGTTACTTTTTTTCAGCTGCTTTGCCCCATTTTAAATTTTGCGGCAGAAATGATCATTTCTTATAAAGAGGCAGAGTTTGCACATGTCCCCTGCCATTTGAGTAGATAGTAGCAGTGAGAGATGGCCCTTAAAGGTGTATTTGCTATTAGAGGGGTAATGTGACACATCTGTTTACTTCTGGTCTGGTTATTGACCATATCATGGAGCTCCTGTTTCTTAATAGTTTTACTTTCTGAAGTATTAAGACCTTTGGCAGTCCCCCAATATTAAAAAACACCAGTTGTATGTTAGTGACACTTGCATTTGACTCATCTTAATGTTTGTTGTTGTTTTTTTTTTTTTCTCTATCAGTGGGAGACAGATTCCAAACATCATTTTGGATTTATCACATCTAAAAAGCATGCTTAAGATTCACATATCAGTAATGCATGCTTTACTAGGGAGGAATATTTTCCTTGTTGGAGAAGGTGCATGTACTTGGTAAAAAGTGTGAATAGTATGAGATTGTAGACAGGGAATAGCAAATCCTTCTCCTATCCTTGAATCCAGTACCCATTTCTCGCTAGAGGTGCCGTGGTGGTGATCACAGGTTATTCTGAGGATCTCCTATATGCAGGAAAAACAGTTATCTGTGTGCTTATTCTCCTTTATCTTAAGTGGAAACATCATGCTATTCTAAAACTTCTCAAAAATAACATGTATACATATATATGTGTGTCTCTATGAACATAGGAGTATTTTATAAAAAATGCATATTTGATCTATAGGGTGGAATGTTCTTGTCTACTGGAATACTTTCTGTTTTGGGAAAAAGCTTACATTCTTCAACCCTGTTCTCTTTTTCTTCCTCTTATGTGACTTCGCTATTTTTGACTTCACTATTTTTTTATAGTTTTAAAATAGGCTCTTTTGTGGTCTGTGGGATATTTCTGGTGGACCTCATTGCATTTTCCTTTTCAGGCAATTTTTAAATGCCTACTGATGCGATTTAGATGAAGTAGATTGGGGTTCTTGACAGAATATAGGTGAGAAAATTTAAAGGAGGAAATTAATAAAATATTTTATATGCGAGCAAAGATGAATTTTTACCTTTAAAGGCATTAGAACCAAATCATATAGGTTATAAAGACTTGTAAATTCATATTTAAGGACTCCTGTGGAAATGGGAATGCATAGATCTGTGCAGGGGTTTAATGTCTTCATGAACCTGCCTGACTGCACGGAGAGATAAGAGAAGCCTTCCCCATTGCTTTTGTCTATTTCTCTATCCTCATTCAGCTTGGCATTTCTTAAAGTCACGGTTCCATTTATTATGGGAAATGGAGGGCTTGCCATTATCTTTTTGTTGTTGTTGTTGTTGTTTTGGTAAGCATTTAGTTTTTTGAAACTTCTATTCCAAAAATTGGAGTGACAGTCTTCTTCCTGTTCTTCCTTTCCAGGGGCACCTCACGCACAACAATGTCTGCGTGTCCTCGGTATTTGTGAGTGAAGATGGGCACTGGAAACTGGGAGGCATGGACACGGTCTGCAGTGTTCCTCAGGCCACCCCTGAGGTAAGGTCCTGTTCAGTCTCTGATATCTCTGGGTCTGTGGCTTTCCTGCCAGTGTTAGGGGCAGATCTTGGATTTGGAGGCTTGATTTTTTTTTTTTTTTTTTGGTCATTGCTCAGATTCATAGAGTTGAAATTTGGGATTTTATTCCTCAAAGGAGCATTATGGATTATTTCTTTTTCCTCATTTGCTAGATGAGGAGCCTGAGACTGAAAGAGGTAAAATGATTTCTTCAAATATTCTAATCAAATTTTCCTCCTTTCTGGTCCTTACCAATGATATTGCCCTTAGATGGTGCCTGGCACATAGTAGGACTCAAAAAATGTCCACTGAGTACTTTTCCAGGTCTCCCAAAGCAATATATTATGTCCTGACGACTGAACTGGGGCCTCTGCATCCTAATTCCTCCTCATGAGCTGTGTTGCTACCGCCTGTGGCACTTGTTATAATTTGTCCGACAAAGACCTGCACGTTTCCCTCCTAGTTTGATAAGCCTTTCTAGTCTCTGTTTTATCTTCACCATTTTACATGTTGCCACCAGCCCTTTGGAAAAAGAAGAAAACACTCTTACCATAACCTCCTAATGTGACAGTGGCTCCTCCTTGTCCTGGCAGGGCCTCATTTCTCCTGTTTTCTGTAGTGGCTTTCTCCATTGGGCCTGTCCACTGTGCACCTTCATGGTCTGTTGTTCAGTTCAAATGCTCTTTCCACCATGAGACACTTCTCTGGTTGTTTCTGTTCCTTCTACTCACTTCTGTCTCAGAATTCACCTTTACGTCTGGTTAATGTAATGCCAGGAGGCCCTTTCTCTGGGATCTGTTCCAAAGTTCCAGGCACACAAAGCCCTGTCCAGTCTCCTGCCCAACCCCTCAGCTTTGTCTGCACTGAGCTTCTTGAGCTATACTCTGGCTCCATCTTGTGCCAAGCAGCTCAGCTGTTGGCACATGTGCTGCTTCCCTCGCCTCTTCTTCCTTCATGTGCCATTCTGTCACTGGGATGCCTTTCTCTCCTGAGCCCTGGAAAGTGTAAGGTCAAGTTGAAGTCCAACTCAGTCTCCTCCTTGGGAACCTCCTCCTACTCTTCTCCCACCTCCAACAAAATGAGTCACACCTGTGATTCGAGGACACGAGGCATTGGTAACATTCTCAGTGGTGAGCACCTGGCTGAGGCAGGGATTGCTCACATTGATTTTGTATTAATAGAGCCTTAAATGGTGTTAGGACAGATAAATAAGCTCTTCAAAAATAACCTCTGAATCCGTGAATGAATGTACTTATGTGATGGTGATTTTGTCTCTGTAGTTGTAGGGTCTCTACTTTTATAATTTATCGTGGTCTTAAAATTGATTTGGTAAGAAGGTTGATGGTTTTCTTCTGTGCTAAAAAAGCCTTCATGACTATATGCAGGATGAGGAAGTATTCCTGATTTCCTTGAGAAAATAAAATGCAACGATGCCCCTGAACAGCAGAGGGCTCTGTTAGACCAGCTTAATGGGAGAGAAAGGCTTGACTGACAACTTTTTTAGCAGGACTTGTGCTGTACTAGGCACTGTATTTGCATTTTTTAATTAGGAATATTTTAAATTTGTGTATTTAATGTGTGGTCTTGGTTTGAAGGTTTCATTACTGCTGTTTCTTTTATTACTTTTGTAACTTGATGTAAGAGATTGCTTCACCAAACACATGTATAAATTATTTCCTTCATTTATGTCTCTGTCTAGTTTCTGAGGAGTATTCAGTCAGTAAGAGACCCAGCATCTATTCCGCCTGAAGAGATGGTAAGATGATATACTGCAGATGTTACAAAGGCTTCTGTATGTAACTGACTATAAAATTACAAAAAAACCCACCAACTTTACCCACCCATTTGCTAAGTTATAGACATCTTATAATGCCTCTCTCTAGCCTTCTTCTGAAATTAATGTTTTCATCACAAGAGGGAGCATGTTTCTGGACACTATTTTTAACTTACATTTTTAGTTGTATGGACAACTATGCTATGATGCAGACAAAATGAAATGGGTTGTTGCTTCCTGTGCTTTTCACACTAAGTCTTTGACGTGTGAGTTGGGGAAGCCACATCGTTGTCCTTTCCTGTGCTCACCCTCAAGTCTTCATCTGCATGTGTTCCCTTAGTTAGGTTCCAGGCTGTATAGAAGAGCAATTATTGATGTTATGGTGCTGGTGAAGAAAGATTAGATTGACCAGTAAATTCAAAAACAGTTGCTCTCTCTAAACTTACAACCACTGTAAATAAACATTGATCCCCAAAGACATATTTAGAGGAAATGCAAGCCCAACTGTACTTAAGTGTAGATCTAAGGCTTGAAATAACTCAGGTTTATCTAAATCAGTACTGTGTTTATATATTAGTGTTTTTTGAATCAATTTGTGGGTTTTAAATTAATTTAGGTGTCCTGGCTAGCATTTTGGGGGGAAAAGGAATAAAATAGAAAATATCCTTGGGCATCTCAGGAATGATGATAATGAGGCTAAGTATTGCTTTATGAAGCTTTGATTTCCATTATATGTGGATTTGTATGTGTGTGTACTGCACTGATACAGTAATAACAACAAGTGTTTTACTCTGGGTTGCAGTGAAAAATATTTTTGAAAGCTACAGACACTAACCATATCTGACCAGCATTTTTTTTGTGCTTTCATTTAATATTTTAAAATCGTTGATAAATTCCTCTCACTAATAAGTTTAAGAGTCTATAAATTACTGTGATATTTTGTGGTTATTTTGGGGTATAATAAATGCAAAAATGGGAGAAATGCTTCAGAGAAGATTAGAAAATTTTTATAAGGAAGATTCTCTCATTTTAATGGTCTTTACTGCTTTTAGTCTCCAGAATTCACAACTCTGCCAGAGTCTCATGGACATGCCCGGGATGCCTATTCATTTGGGACATTGGTGGAAAGTTTGCTCACAGTCTTAAATGAACAGGGTGAGTTAGAGTTATACTACTACATCCACAGAGTAAAGGAAAAACCACCCAGGGCCTGTCCTTTGTGCAAAGGACTTTAGTCTTTAATCATGGAAAGAACCTTTTGGTTACCAACTAACTTATTGAGGGCAGATCTTCACAGCAGTGAGGAGAGCAGCTCTGAGTGTCTTTAGTTTGCACTCTTAAAAGAATTTTAAATGGGAAGCAGTCAGAACCATGTCTGTCAGCATCATGTGTTACTGTATTACTCATTGGGACTGGCATTTGTGGTCCAAAGATATTTCATTATTGAGCCAGCCAATAAGTAAATGAATACTGTTATCGATTTATATGTAGGAATCTGAAGAAGAGATTCAAAAATTTTTCATTTCTAAATCAAGTTTAACCTTGTTTGATCTTTATTCCTTCAGTTCTGGGTTTTCTTTTTTTCTTCTTGATGTAATTTACTCATTACAATTTTTTTCTTTCATTGCTCCTTAAGCCCAGGCTTCTGAATACATTGCTTTCTTCTTTCTTCTGACTTCTCTAATGGCATGCATGGCAGCCTGCCTCACTCTCCTCCAACCACTCCAGGCCCCCAGTTGTCCCACAGTACAGAATGAGGGAGCACCTGTCACATTCAGCCCCTCACTGGCTTGTATCTTGCATTGCTGAAGCTTATGTAGACCTAACATAGTTCCTCTGCCTGGTTTACGCAGATTCTGAAGTTATAAACACCCTTCAGCTCTAAGTTATCCCAGCCTAGATACTTAAGGATTAAACCCAAGGTCCCTAAGACATCCCTTGTGGGACATAAACTCACTTCTCTTCGCCATGTGGCTATTACATACCATCCTTAGGAGAATCAAAAATGCAGTCACTCAAATAACTTTATGTGTTCTACAGGTGAGTTGCACTGGTTGAAGAGGCCCTCACACCTGCCACTTATTAACCTCCTTTAGGCCTGAGCTGAGCTAACACTGACAGGAAATGAGAGGGCACAGAAGGGGAGGTGCAAGGGGTGGGGCTGGAGTTGTTGGCAGGACAATTTTCTACACCTGCTGAGGAGTTGGGCTTAAGGCAAGCAGGAAGCTCTTCAGCAACAGCCAGGGCTCTGTTTGTTTGGGCTTTTACAGGTTGGTTTTTGCTCTCGTCAGTCTCCTGCTATAGAGGCCCTGAAAAGAGGGAGAAGGCATTGGAAACTAACTGTAGCTCTGGATTTCAGTTTCAGCGGATGTTCTTTCCAGTTTTCAACAGACCTTGCACTCAACTTTGCTGAATCCCATTCCAAAATGTCGGCCAGCGCTCTGCACCTTACTGTCCCATGACTTCTTCAGGTGAGGGCTCTAGTGTGACGCTGGCTGCATCCTGTCACCTTTGCCTGCTCCCTCCCTTACCGGATGTCCTGTGCCAGTGGTGGGGGAGGGGGACCAAAAGGTGCCATTCCCTTTGTTGTCTTTGCTAATTATTAGAAGAGACTGAGTTATGTCCACAAGAGACAACAGAGGGAGAAATAAATTGGGTTTTTATAACAAACAGATGGGAAGTTAATAGAAATCTTTCACTGTCATGAAGACAAGGGTCTGCAAATGATAGGTTTAGGCTGTAATTTAGAGCTTCAGATGGTGAAGAAGCTGGGCTGTGTCCATTGGTTACAGTTGTAAGTTAATTTAGAAAGTAAACAGTCTCTCCTTCCTGCTGCCAGCGTCTTATAGATTTGAATTCATTATTGAATTTTTCCTTGTTGGGGGCGGAAACCAGCCTGTTTTCTCTTTAAGGAGAAGCTTGCTTGCTTTGTTTAGCCAAAGGGAAGGAAGAGCAAAAAAGTAGAGTTAGAGAGAGGGCACAGTGTAACTTTCTTTCTCTGGGTTCAAACATGTTTTTCAGCCTCTGCATGGATTCATTCTACATGCATGACTTTTTTAAGCAAGGTCAATATTCTGTCAGTTTTGAAACTAAAATTCCTGTGTCTTTAAATTGGAGAACCTGGGAAAAGCTGATACTATCCCTGGAGGGGAAATTATCTCTAGGGATGGTGGACATCCCTAGAGATATTGGGAGGGTGGGGCGTGGGCATATTATTAAACAAGGAGAGGGGATAGTTTTACTGCAGTTACTATTTGTCATTTATGTTTCAAAGAGACAAGTCTTTTTTTTAGTCTTTTAACCAAAGTATTTTAATGTCCTTTTGGGTGACTCATAATAGTAATTTATTTACCATGATATAGTCTGTATAACAAATAATCCTATGTAGCAAGTGGGTCCTGTCATCACTGTGTGTTAAGAGTTCTTTACTAAGAATTGTATTTTAAATAAAAAGGGGGGCCTCCACGGTGGCGCAGTGGTTGAGCGCTGAGTTGCGAAGCTGCCTGCAGCCTCTGCAGCACTGGTTCATTCACCGGCCGCCTGGTGACGGTCCCACATGGCGCGCAGACCTCTCCTGCCGCCCGCTGCTCCCCTCAGCAGTGTACTTCGTCAGTCTGCCTGCTCTGCTCTCCGCTCTGGCTCTGGTGAATTCTCTCACCCTCCCGTGCTTCTGACTGTACCCAGTACTTGTATAAATAAATAAATCTTAAAAAAAAAAAAAAATCAGAAAACTTAAAAAAATAAAAAAAATAAAAAGGGGAGGGCCTCCCTGGTGGCACAGGGATTGGGGACAGCGCTATCAAGCTATCGCCAGCCACTGCAGCACAAGTTCGATCCCCAGGCAGTTAGGGAGCAATCCACATGGCACAGCAGACCTCTCCTGCCTTGCCTGCTACTCCCCTCAGCAGTGTATTTCAGTAGATCTGCCTGTCTGCCTGTTCTACGCCTCACTCTCTCTGGTCAGTCCTCTCACACACCCCCACCCCACCGCACCTCTGGCTTACACCTGGTCTTTGTATGCATAAGTAAATAAATCTTTTAAAAAATAAATAAATGGGGAATAGGAAAGCCAAAGAACACCAATTCCCCCTTCTCCAAATCTCCATGAGGAGCAAACCCAGCTTTGGGCAGCAGAAGAGCCAGGGCTGAGTCCCTTGCTAAGGCAGCTAAGCCAATTTGATTAGGTCTGAGTTAAAACATTCGTGCTTTTTCTAGGCTACAGAGTGGAGGGAAACAGGTGTGGCTATGTTATGTGGAGCCACAGGGGGCTGCTGTGCTGACTGTGGGCTGAGGTGGTGGATGGTGGGGCATACTGTGAGCATCCTTAAGCAAAACTGCCCCCCAAGGCTTCATGCCTTTAGCTACCCTGCAGGAAACTGATCCCTCTTTTCACCCTCTGCCCTGCCTCGCTGAAAAAATGAAGGACTCTCTGCAGGAGAGAGAAGTTCTGTGACATGGAATTGTACCAGAAAGTCCTCTACCCCCAACCCTCTTTAATTTTCAACTTCACCAAAGGAAACTTGAGAATCAATAACTTGTTTTGTAATGGTAATGTCATTTCTTCAGTATATTTATTTTTAAAATTCTCTTACATCGTCAGTTTTTGGACAGTGTTTGATTTCTCCTCTTAAGTGTAGTCCCCGTAGTTCTTCCACTACCACACCATCTGTGATCCACCTCCATTGTCCCTGTGCTGTTTCGTCCCCTGTTTTGACCCCTCACCCTCCCCTCCTGTATGCTTGAAATCTATGGTCAGCTTGCAAGTTTTATCTTTTACCTGGCCATTTGTTTGGTTCCTCTGTATTCTGCATATAAGGAAAATCATCTGAAGTCAGTCCTGACTGACTTTGCTTAGCATATTCCCTTCCCTCTCCATCCATGTTGCTGCAGATGGCTTGAGGTTTTTTGTTTTTTTTCTCTTGATCACTGAGTAGTATTCCATTGTGTGTATATACCACATTTTCTTGATCTGTTATCTATTTGGGGACATTTAGCTTGTTTCCATATTTTGGCTATTGTAAATAGTGCTACAGTAAACATAGTGCAGGTTTCCTTTCAAATTAGTGTTTTTATATTCTTTGGGTAGATTCCTAGGTGTGGAATAGCTGAGTTGTATGGTAAATACATCTTCAGTGTTTTGAGGAACCTTCACACTGCTTTCCATAGTGGCTGGACTAGTTTAGTGTAAGAGGATTCCTGTTTTCCTTCACATCCTCACGAGCACTTGTTTCTGTTTTGTTGTTGTTATTTTTAAGTATGGGTCATTCTCACAGGTGTGAAGTGGTATCTTCACTGTGATTTTGATTTGGAGTTCCCTGATAATAGGTGAGGTTTTTAAAATCAAAAATATTTTTAAAATTTATTATGTCATGGAATATTTTGCCTATGTTTTCTTCTATATATTTTATGGTTTCAGGTTTTACATCCAAGTCTTTTATCCATTTTGAGTTGATTTTTGTGTATGGTGTGAGATAGTAATCTAGTTTCATTCCTTTGCATGTGGCAGTCCAGTTTTCCCAGTGTTATAGGGCAGCCCCGATATTGAACGTGTTCCTGGCTGTGGGTCCTCACCCGCACGCTTACAAGGGACTTATGAATACTCCACTACAGGCACACACAAAAGGTTAATAAAAGGTTTATTTACAAGGGAAAAGGAAATAAGGAAAATGTACAACTCAGGGAGAAAATAGGGAAATAAAGTCTTTAATGCATCCTACCCGATCCGCTGACCTGGAAACCCAAAAAGCACTCTCTGAGCTGGCCGGACGGCTGCAAGCTGGTGGAGAGCCAAAATGGAGGAACCCCTCCAAAGCCCATGTGTCTGGCTTTATACCAACCTGGCTGCTTAACCCCACCCTCAGGTCCCAGCTACCTTCCCTTTGGTGGTGATGGGATTTGGAGTTCCCAGTGTCTTTGGCTTTGGCCTGGGGTGGGGGTGGAGTCCACAAAGCCCGTATGGAATTAGCTTTAGGACATCTTTTCCCCCCTAACAATTCCCCCCTTTCACTTTATGTCCCCCTAACACCAGCACCGTTTGTTAAAGAGGCTTTCCTTGTTCCAATGTATATTCTTTGCTCTTTGGTCACAGATTAGTTGACTGTATATGTGTGATTTTATTTTTGAGCTTTCAATTTGATTCCATTGGTCTGTGTGTGTGTTTTTGTTCCAGTACCATGCTGTTTATTATGGCTTTTTAGTATAGTTTGAAGTCTGGGCCACCATTATTCCTTGGAGACCTTTGACTGTCCATATGAATTTCAGCAATATTTGTTTCATTTCTTTGAAGAATGCCATTGAAATTTTTACTAGAATTGCATTGAATCTATAAATTTCTTTTGGTCAAACGGCCATTTTGATAAATTCTTCCAATCAGCAGGGAATGTCTTTCCATTTCTTTGTGTCTTCTGTTTCTTTCAACAGAGTTTTATAATTTTCCTTATATAGATATTTAACCTCCTTGTTAGGTTTATTCCCAGATATTGATTTTTTTTTTTTTGGTACAGTTGTAAATGGATGATTTTCTTAAATTCTTCCTCTTCAGAGTGATTGTTTTTGTGTATTAATTTTGAAACCTGCTACTAGACTCAACTCGTTTGTTGTTTTAGTTTTTCTGTGGATTTTTTCGGGTTTTCTATATAATATCATCTGCAAATGATGATTTTTTTTTACTTCTTCCCAATTTGGATTCTTTTTATGTCTTTCTCGTGCATAATTACTCTACCCAGGATTCACAGTTTTATATTGATGAGCTGTGGTGAGAGTGGACATCCTGGCTTGTTCCAGATCTTAGTGGAAAGGTTTTCAGTTTTCCACCATTGAGAATGATGTTAGCTGTGAGTTTGTTATATATGGCTTGTATTATGTAAAGATAAATTCCTTTTATTCCAGGTTTTTTTAAAGGGCCTTCATCATAATGGATGTTGAACTTTATCAAATGCTTTCTTGGCATCTATTGATATGATCACATAGTTTTTTTATTTTTGTTGTGATGAATTGTGTTAATTGATTTCTGGATGTTGAACCATCCTTGTGTCCCTGGAATAAATCCCACTTGGTCATAGTGTGTGATCCTTTTAATGCATTGTTGGATTCAATTTGCTAAGACTTTATTAAAGATTTTATCACTCGTGTTCACTAGGGAGATTGGTATGTAGTTTCTTTTTTGTGTTGTCTTTGGTTTTGGTATTAGTGTGATGTTGGGCTTATAAAATGTTTTTGGTAGTAAGCCTTCTTTCAGTTTTTTGAAAACTTTTTTGCAGGGTAGGCATTAGTTCGTCCTTGACCGTTCGGTAGAACTTGTTTGTGAAACGATCTGGTCCTGGATTTTGTTTTTCTTAGAGGGTTTTGATTACTGTTTCAATTTTCTTGCTTGTAATTGGTTTTCAAGTTTTCTGTTTCTTCTTTATTCAGTTTTGGGTAATTATATAATTCTAGGAACTTGTCCTTCTCATCTAGCTTGTTGAACTTGTTTGCATATAAATGTTCATAATTACCTCTAATTATCATCTGGATTTCTGCTGTGTCTGTTGTAATTTCTTCTCTTTCATTTATGATCTATTTATTTGCGTTTTCTCCCTCTTTTTTCTTTTAAGCCTGGCTAGGGATTTATCTATTTTGTTTATTCTAAGAACCAGTTTTTGGTTTCATTGAGTTTTTGGATTCTTTTTAAATTTATATTTCACTTATTTCTGCTTTAATTTTTATTTCCTCCTACTGGCTTTTGGTCCCCCCCCCCTTTTCTAGTTCCTTGAGATGGGACAGTAAGTTGTTTCTTTGGATTCTTTCTTGTTTCCTTTATTTATTTTTTTAAGATTTATTTATTTATGCAAGAATCTGGTACAGACCAGATGCGTGGGAGGGTGAGAGGATTCACCAGAGACAGAGCGGGGAACAGAACAGGCAGACTGACGAAATACAATGCTGAGGGGAGTAGCGGGTGAGACAGGAGAGGTCTGCTGTGCCATGTAGGTATCTCCCTGGCCTGCTGGGAATTGAACCTGCACTGCAGAGGCTGCGGACAACCTCACAGCACTGCGCTCACCCAATGCACCACCAGGGAGGCCCTCTTTCTTGTTTCTTGATGTTGGCCTGTATTGCTATGTACTTCTCCCCTCTTAATACTGCTTTTGCTGTGTCCCATTTGTTCTGGAAGATAGAGTTCTCATCATTTGTCTCAAGGTATTTTTTTATTTCTTTATTCATTAACCCAGTGGTCTTTTTTTTCTTTTTTAAAGATTTATTTATTTATTTATACAAGCACTGGGTACAGTTAGAAGCGCAGGAGGGTGAAAGAATTCACCAGAGCCAGAGGGGAGAGCAGAGCAGGCAGACTGACGAAGCACACTGCTGAGGGGAGCAGCGGGCAGCAGGAGAGGTCTGCGCGCCATGTGGGACCCTTGCCCTGTGGCCAGGGATCGAACCGGTGCTGCAGAGGCTGCAGGCAACTTCGCAACCCAGCACTCAACCGCTGTGCCACTGGGGAGGCCCAACCTAGTAGTCTTTCAATAGCGTATTGTTCAGTCTCCATGTAATGGGGGATCTCCTTGCTTTCTTATTGTAGTTGATTTCTAGTTTGATACCTTTAAGGTCACAGAAGATACTTGGTATAATTTCAATCTTCATGTAATTGTTGATTTTTTTTTTTTTTTTTTTTTTTTTGGTGACCCAGTATGTGATTGATCCAGGAAAATTATCCATGTGCAGTTTCCTATAGATATCTGCTAGGCCCTTGTGGTCTAGATCTTTGTTTAGGGCTATTGTGTCCATGTTTATTTCTGACTCATTGATTTGTCTGTTGGTGAGTGTGGGCTGTTGAAGTCTCTGCCGCATGTATTGTCTCCAATGTCTGTTTTCAGAGATGATGGTAATTGTCTAATATATTTGGTGCTCCCTCATTTGAGTATATATTAATGAGTGTTAATGTCTTCCCAGTGTATTGTCCCTGTGATTGTTATAAAGTGTCCATCTGTGTCTCCTCACCTTTTTTATTTTTTTAGCTTGAAGTCTATTTTATCTGATGAAAGTATGGCTATCGCTGCCTTCTTTAGGGGGGTCATTTGCTTGTCAATTGTTTTCCAGTCCTTTACTTTCAGTCTGTGTTTATTTTTAAAACTTGTGCTTCCTGGAGGCAGCAGAGTTTGGATTCTGTTCTGTAATCCAGAATATTGCTTTGTGCCTTTTTATTGGTGAGTTTAGTCCATTAAAATTTAGAGTGGTTATTGACACATATAAGTCTGTTACTTCCATTTAGTTTATTATTTTGTGGTTTTATTTAACTCCTTGTTGAGTTTCCTGTTCATTCCTCTGTTGATTTAGATCCTGAGACTCCTTATATTTCTCGGAGTGGGGGTTAGTAGTAGCAACTTCCTAAAGATTTTGTTTATCTGAAAAGGTCCTTATTTTTTACTCAGATTGGAAGGAGAGATTTGCAGGATATTCTTGGCTGGCATCTTTGTCTTGTAGTTTTTTGAATATGTCACTCCATTCTCTTCATGCGTTAGTGTTTCTTCAGAGAAGCCTGATGTTAGCCTAATCAATTTTCCTTTGGTTATCTGTTACTTTCCTGTTACTGGCTTCATTTTATTTTATTTTATTTTATTTTATTTTTGGTCTTGGACTCTTAGAAGCTTTACTACTGTGTCTTGCAGTTTTCATGTTATTTGATAGTTTAGTGTCTTTCTAGCTTCCTGTATGTGTTTCATTTCCTTCACTTATGGGTCAGTGATGTCCTCAAATAGCTTTTCAGCTCCCTTGTCTCTTTCTTTTCTATCTGGGATACCTATGACCCTTATAGTTCCTTCCCTTATGGTGTCAGATAATTCTTAGTTTCTTCATTCTTTTTCCTTTGTATCTCTCTCCTTTTCTTTCTTGCTTCTTTTCTTATCTGTATTTTCAAGAATATTGATTCATTCTTCCATATCATTTATTCTGTTTCCATGACTTTTCCCAGTTTTTATTTCCTCCATTGATATTTTTATATCCTGCAGTTCCTTTATTTTCTTATTTTAGGTTCAATCTTGATCTTCTGTTTGTTGATAATGTTTTTCATAGCTTTTATTAAGATTTACAATTTATTTATGCATAGAACTGTGTTGTAGGCCAGAGGTGGTGGGGGGAGGGGGTAAGAGGATTTCCCAGAGACAGAGTGGGGAGTAGAACAGACGGATCTGCCGAGGGGAGCAGCAGGTGAGACAGGAGAGTTCTGCTGTGTCATGTGAGTAGCTCCCTGGCTGGGGATCGAACTTGTGCTATAGTGGCTGCTGATAGCTTCTTAGTGCTGAGACTTAACCCCTTGTGCCACCAGGGAGGCCCACTCATAGCATTCCTTTCCTTCTTTGCTCTTCTCATATATCTCTTTCTACGTTGTTTATGTTGTTGAAGTTTGTTTACTATCTTCATTATGGCAATTTTGAATTCTTCATCTGACAGGAAGAATTCTTCCATGTCAGAGTTGTAGAGTTCTGGAGATTAATTTTTTGCTCCATAATATATCATTATCTGAGGGCTTGCTTGATCATTTATGTTTTTCCTTCTCCCTGTTGTTTGCTTTGGGTTTGCTCTGTTGTAGTTGAGGCTTTTGTTGTGTGTGAGTCTTTCTCCCCCCACTACTCTGGGTGCTTACATAATAGTGGACACAGCTACTGAGGCCTTGTAGGATGCAGGGTGGTCCTAGACCACCCTTCCCGGAAGTACTTCCAGGCCTTGTTCTGGTGGTTCGGGGGATGGCTGGATTTAGAGGCTGAGTTGCTGGGACCTTACTTCACCCAGGAGTGGAGGCTTAGGCCTGTTTCTGATGGCCAGGAGGGCAGAGGGTTGCTGAAGATCTCTGATAAAGGAGGAGGCTGTATGCAGCTGAGCACTTAAGGGGGTACACTTCCCCTTGCAGCTAGGGGCGAGAGGTGTAAAGCTAGGTCCTACAAAGCCACAAGTGGGGCTTCTGCCTGCTCCTGAGGAGCTGATGGCTAAGCCTGGAGTCAGGGGTGTTTTACCCAGGGGTTGCCTAGAGTCCCTGATGTAGAGCAACGTTGTGTGAGGCCCAGGCTGGGGCACCTGTCTACTGGGAGGCACTGGCGCCTAAGTGCCGAGTGGGATGCACTTCCCAGTGTGGCTGGGGGCCCAAGGTGAAAAACTATGTCCTGCAAAACCCCAATTCGGACTTTTGTCTGCTCCTGAGGAGCTGATGGCTGGGCCTAGAGTCAGGAGTGCTTACTGTAGGGGTTGCTGATATAGAGTAAGACCCTGCAAAGCCAGGCTGGGGCACCTGTCTGCTAGGAGGCTCTGAGTTTATTTTATTTAACCACATCCTATTATAGTGAACAGTTTGGGTGATGATGATTAAAACCACAAAGTGTGTTAGCAAGTATATGCATGTGTTTAATAAGTGTATATACTTTTCACAGATCTCTGATAACCTTAAAATAGTACTTCTCTGTGGACTTTTTCCATAGTATTTCCTTATATGCCTGCTTACTCATGGAGTGTTCTGACTGGCATAGGGGAATGCCCCTGCTGAACATAACAACATGACTGGGACACTTGCATATTTAACATGCCTTTTCTAATCTTATCCTGCGGTTTTTTGTTTCTGTTTTTTAACCTTTTTGGCATGTAGGAATGATTTCCTAGAAGTGGTGAATTTCTTGAAAAGTTTAACATTGAAGAGTGAAGAGGAAAAAACTGAATTCTTCAAGTAAGTTCAGAAAGTTAGCATTGCACCTTAAAATTCAGTGAATTGGACTAAGTCCATGTAACCACTTCAGTTATTCAGGTCAGACATTTGGTTTCTCTAATCACATTTATTGAGCATTTCTTAAAGGTCAGGCGCTCTACAAAACTCTGGGATAGACAGTTCTGCTGAAGCAAAAATAACAGATTAAAAACAGTGATAGAGCTTGCTGGGCACCCGAGAACACAGGAAGGTGGAGGTTAAATAAGAGGCCCGCAAAATCGTGGTGCTGGGAAGGGAGGTAGGCATGAGAATAGATGTAGACCACTTTGTCGCTAGTGGCCTCAGGGCCTGAAGGAGACAATGCATGTCCTGGCCCGTTTCCTAGAAATCAGGAGGCAAGACTATCTGCTGAGGGTGAATGTACAGTGAGTGGGGTATTATTACTATAAATATTACTACTATTACTAGATATCACTATTAATATCTAATCTGTTTTTACATGTATTATTTCAACACATTTAATAACAAAAGCCTGTATTTTATTTACTGTGGAAACTTTAGAGAATGTAATATGCTGTGTTTTCAATTTGGGAAGGTTCCCTTGAAGACGAGAAAGCCTCTGACTTATTAGGGGAAAAGGAGGACATGTTTGCTCTAAGGGGACATGTGTCGGAAGTTTTTCCTAGTGTGGCCTGGAGGTCGTCTGCCTGCTGATGAGCGGGCCTTGCCTCCGCCTTCTGCTTGTTGCTTCAACACCAAGGCATCAACCTGTCCCATTCCTAGCTACATTTCTAAATGCAAATCTTTGGTGGAAGTGGCAGAGGTCATATGGGTCTGAACCCTAGCAGTGAGTTGATCGTGTGTCACCAGTGTCTCAGGCGCTCCTTTTTGCCCTCAGGTTTCTGCTGGACAGAGTCAGCTGCTTATCAGAGGAATTGATAGCGTCACGGTTAGTGCCCCTTCTGCTTAATCAGTTGGTGTTTGCAGAGCCAGTAGCTGTTAAGAGCTTTCTTCCTCATCTGCTTGGCCCCAAAAAAGGTGAATTTTTTTCAAGGAATTTGGGGATTATTAGTCCATATTTGAAGAGTGAGATTATTGTACAATGAGGTTAATGTATGGTTCTAAAAATGGAGCCATAACTGGTATAACTTCGACTCAAACCTGGGTACCAAAGCCCACAGGATAAATATGGAGCATCTTCTGGGGAGTCAGATTTGCAATTGAGTCTTATTAACATACACACAGGAGACTAGACTCTGAAATGCATGTGCAGAATTGAGCTAAGAGCACATCTTCAGGAAACTCATGCATCTGCAGTGAATCATTTAGGCCTGTGCCTCCTGACTTCCCAAAGGTGATCCATTTGTTTTGTTTGCCCTGGAAAGATCAAAAAGCACAGATCATTTTACTTGGAGCTTCAGTTTCTTTCCCTGAATGTGAAATGAGGTTCTTGCCTTGCAACTTTATAGAACGACAGAGGGGAACACATCAGGCTAGGGCATAGAGCACTAACATAATCTTGTGGAATTTTGAGTTCCATAGACTTGTGCTTTCAAGAATTTATTTTCTGAAAAGATCTCAAACCAACATAGCAGTGTTACACAGGTACTGTTTACAGTGTAGGATGTCCTTCTGTCTGTATTTTGCTGTTATTCCTGAGCCATGGATTTGCCTTTATCACTCCTCCATCCCGTTACTCAGTAGATCTTACGTTGGAGTGCGCCTCTGAGCCACTTAGGGAGCTTTAAAGTGTGCCCGGAGGCCTCGCCACTGGTTTGGCAGAGCCAGGGCAGGGTCCTCTCTCTATTCCTCAAGTTCCCAAATGATCTGAAACGGGTCCCTGTGTGATAAGCTCTCCCCTGACTGCTAGGTGGAGAGGCTTCTCCAGCTCCAAGTTCTGTGGTAGAGTTTAACATCGCCTGGCCTTGCAGTAAACCTAGTATATGAAGTTCCTTACTGATTAAACTTTAACGCATAAGAGTTATTCACTCAGGAGTCTATTAAAATACATGCTTTCTTTGTAGTACTTTAAGTATGATGTAGTATTTCAGAAACCCTTCTACAAGGTGGAGTGTGCTAAGTGTAATTAAGTCTTCAGTGATTTGGGGTCAACAAATTTTGTTTGGGTCTTAAGACTTTAGAAGAGGACGTCTACATGTTACGAGTGCTCCTTTCACTGAAACATCCATCTGTTTTTCCATCTGTAACCACCTCTGATCTGGGGGGTAGACAATGCACAGGGAGACACCCCTTGCCTGCTCTCACCAGCCCTGTTCCAGTCGCGGGTGATCCCCGTGCTGCTGCAGCTGTTCGAGGTCCACGAGGAGCACGTGCGGATGGTGCTGCTGTCCCACCTGGAGGCCTACGTGGGCCACTTCTCGCAGGAGCAGCTGAAGAAAGTCATCTTGCCTCAGGTCAGAGACAACGGGCCGGGCAAAGGCAGGCGCAAGGAGAGGGGGCCAAAGGGAGGGTGGGCAGATTGGGGGCCATTCAGGCACGACCTTAGAAACCGTGGAAGCAGCAGTTTGGTCTAAAAGCCCGCTGGAATGCAACGGGCTGAGTTGAAATTGCATTTCTAATTCCTTACACACAGAGCAATCAAACGGACGTATTTGGTCTTAACTTGAGAAAAGTATCATTCCGTTTAAGTACTTGGGGGAAAGAACAAAAGTCATTCGTGGGATGTTTTCCATATGTGCACCATAAACTGTGAGGGTCCATAATTACTATAAACTTAGAAGAACGTATACTTATTCACAGATAATGGTTTTTCAGCCTGTTTATTAGCCATCAGAGGGAGTTCTGTTAGGGTTTGCCACCCGAGAGCTTCAGGTTTGTATTTTTTTCCTGTGGCTGGTGTAACAAATGACCACAGGCTAGTGAGACTTAAAACTTTGGGAAAAGTCCCAACTCTCGGTGTCAACAGGACCGCTGAAGGCACTGAGGAGGTAGCTCCAGCACGCCTGAGCATTTATTGGCTGTAGCTGTGCAACTAAAATCTGTTGTCTCATGGCCTTTTCCCCCGTGTCTGTCTGTAAGATCACTAGTCATTGGATTTAGGGCCCAATCTTCGACTCAGTACAAGAGTATAAAAGCTCTTGTCAGTCACATGGTATCTTTCAAACAGCTGGCTTTCCTATGAAAGGACTGTAGGGCCTGGTTTTATGCCAGGTCTTATATATAGTTATTGGGGCAGAGGGAGGTAACACACTCTCTGTTTTCAAGGAGCCAAAGGTGGAAAAGGTAGATGTTTTGTTATCTGTTGAGTGTAACCACCCCAACACCGAGGGTGAAACAGCAAACATTTTGTTAATTCTCATCATGGTTTGGATCAGCTGGGCTCAGCATGGTGTCAGATGAGGCAGCACACAACTGGGACCCCCCCAGGGCTGACACGTCCTTGGAGGGGGTGCCCAAAAGGTTGGGCATAGCTGCAACATGGGGATAGTGGGCCTCTTCCTCCATGCTCAGGGCCTAGGAGCCCCTGAGTGACATCCCGCCATGATTTCTCTAGCTGAGAAGGTCGCCTTCTCACAGGGCTCCTGGAAGTGCCAGGGCAGCCTTCTGAGAGTTGGGAACTGACAGCATCACTTCTGTCACATTCTCTTGGTTAGTCAGTCAGCCAGGTTCACTGCGGGACAGATCACTTGGGAGGACTGCAGCCTCACTAGTTCAGCACTCTGTACATGTGAGCAGTGAGACTCGGTATGTAGTTGTGTCTGAAAATACAGAAGGATACAAAGCCCTCTCTGAAATAGCTGTCATCAGAGGTCTCAATTGGCATTGAGCTGAGGTCAAAAAATTATTAGAACCATGTGAAAGGCCTTGAAAGCTCTTTGGCATGATTTCCCCTGGAGGAAAAACTTGAATTTTCATGTGCTAGAACGTTTACTTAGCAGCAGGGCAAATGGACGGTAGGGAGGGAGATCATTTAAGATTCTGTTAGAAGACTGCAGCTAAGAGATGACGAGCCTGGGGGAAATGTGGCCGTGGTTATGGGAGAGGGCGGTAGAGAGGAAGAGATGGGACTCAGTTTCTCACTAGATGGCAGTGGTTTGAGGGTGACACTGGGGTTTCTGGCTTGGAGGCGGCAGAATTTGAATCACACACAGGAATTTGCTTCAGTTTACTTACACATCTTTGTTTTGAAAATGCCTGATTTGCCAGCGCTGGAACTGATAAATTATCAAATCCTGCTGGAAACTTTGATCTTGGGTAAATGAGGAAACGGGATAAGAAAAATAAAAAGATTCCTTAGTTGAAATGAGAAGTCCTAGCAGGGCTGGGACTAGAGCCTGGGATTGACACCTGGGTGCCCTGCTGTCCCCCCTCACATCTGGCTCATGCAGATGATGTTTCACATCTTTGCCAATTCAGAGCAAATCGCCACTGATTCCTGCAAGTAACTGTCTTGAATTTCTTTCATTGATAAGTAACTGAAACCCACTTAAATGAACTAAAGCAAGATGATGTCTGTAAAAGGGACTCATGGCCACGCAGCCCTTTCCTCTCTGCACCTGTTCCATTTTTGAACCAGCTTTCATTGTTTGGTCTGCACGTGGGCACACAAGGTTGTCCACAGCTTCCAAATTTACTATCCTGAATGTAAGCAAACCAGAGAACCAGTGTCTCCAAATTCCAGTTATTACTGGATAAAAGCTCATAGTTGACTCAGTTTGGGGCAGGTGTTACATGCAACCGATATAAAGCACATTCCCAAAGTCCTGTCCTGGTGGGTGTGTAGTCCTAAGAGGGCAGGACTGGGCAGGTGACATTGGGACCTAGAGCGTGGGCGGGAGCGCAGACAGGGAGTTTACACTGAAAGCTTTTATAGCAGTTCAGCAGAGGAATTTTGTATTTCCCATGTATGTATTCTTTTAATTTGTCTTAATCTTTCTGTGATGATGAGGGAAGGAAAACATTGGCCTTTGACAATAGTTTGAGATCCACTGGCATAGGACACAGGACACAAATCTAAAAAATGAAGTTTATCTAAGCAAGCACAGTCTAATGGCAGCAGCTGCTGCTTTACAGGGTAGAAAAGACAAGCAGTGTGGTGGTTTCACCACCTGATTTGCTCCTAGGTGTTACTGGGCCTGCGCGATACCAGTGATTCCATCGTGGCGATCACTCTTCACAGCCTGGCCGTGCTGGTCTCCCTACTTGGACCAGAAGTGGTTGTGGGAGGAGAAAGAACCAAGATCTTCAAACGCACTGCTCCAAGTTTCACTAAAACTATTGACCTTTCCCCAGAAGGTAAGAATGGTGAAAACGTATAGCTCTGTATTCTAAGCATTGTTGTTATTTGGTATTGTACAAGTAATACCAGTGGGCCATACTCAGTCAAATGATATAGAAAAAAATGCCCCCCCCTCATTCCAGGGGGTGTGAGTTACCAGTTTTAATAACTTTAGTGGGAATCCTTTCATCCCTTTTTTAAACCCACAGAAAGACACAAGGGTGTATATTTACACACACACACAGAGGAATTTTTCTTTAAATGGTGAGAAAATACTGTGCACAGTGCTACAACTTGCTTTTTCCTGTAGCAGCTTGTCAGGGTCCTGTCCCCAGGTCAGTGCCTAAAACCGAGCTCACCTTTTTTGACAGCTGCCTTATGTCGTAGAATGTAATTCATTCTGTGATCTCCCTCTTGAGAGCCACTACAGTGCTGCAGTAGCCTTGCATATATCCTTATGTAGTTCAGATTTTATTGATAGAGGCTAAAGTTCCAGAAGTGGACTTATTGGGTCAAAGAAAATAATGTGAGTTTTCAAAAAAAAGACTAATTCTTAAACTAGATATTTAAGTTCTTTGATTTTTGTTGGCCTATTAGATGAAAAGCTGTTAGGTATTTCAAGAAATACTTATTTTGGTGTTCCCATTGGATGTTCCATGGAAAGCAGCAATAATTCCTGGTTATGGTCATACTTTGTCAGCTATAATAGTCAATAAGAATTTTTATCACTGTCACTCCAGCTTTTTCTTTGTATAATTCTGAATAGCAGGAGAAGAGTTTATTAGAAAATCAGTTGTCTCTAATTTTAATGCCAAGATAATTTTGAAAGCAGATCTAGCTTCCTAGAGTTTTGAGGAGTCCAAATGCCACTAGTGTCCATGTGGCTCCAAGGAGCTTTTGAAGAGAGGAGGGTTATGGAGAAATCGCCACCTCATCTTAACCAATTTTTCTTTCAGTAGAATACAAAAAATGAGATTTGTATTCCACATCAGGAATTTTTATTTTCTTGTAGGGGAGACAGTATATAGTTTAAGAGTCTAGGGGACAGCTTTGTATGTCCAAACATCTGATTTATTGGATGGAATTCTAGGTAATTTATATATGGTCCATCTGAATTACTCTGGTCTTAACAAGAAACCAAAAAAGCATCAGATGCTATTTTTATTAAAAACAGATTTTCCAAGAGCACAGATCAGGGTCTCCCCCACTGACTTTCCAAGCCAGGCTCATGACAGAAGATGGCTAGTGAGCTCTGGCCGAGTCCATAACCCAAGTTTCTAATCAAGAGTGGTGCTTCTTTGTTCGTTTGCATGGTCAGACTTAAGGGCTAATATTGAGGTTTGTGAAAAGTGTGACTAAGGAAAGTAAGTCTGCCTGCAGGGAGAGTTGGAAAAGACAATTTAGAAAAGGGCACACTAGGGAAGAAAAGGTATCCTTTTTCTTCATGGAGAACAGTAACAAAGGTAAATAAGCAATAAGGGTGAGCACTTCACCTAGGCTACCTCCTGAGTTGAGGAAGTATTCTTTTCATCATTGCCCACTCGATTATGAACTTTCTGGTAAACTGAAGACAGCATTTATTAGAACTATTTCTTTCTCAGTTGGAAGTTAAAAAGGTAAATTTTATGGACTTACAAGTATATAGTCTGTGGCTTTAAGTACATTCAGATTGGTGTGCTTATATTCCTATGACTCATTGCTTTAGAAGGCTTTTAACTTTTATAACCAATTGTCCTTTAGGTGCATCTAAATCCAGCCTCTCACCTAATGCCAACCCCCACTCCATCACCACCATGTGGCCACCCAGCTTGTGCTTAAACATCTCAGAGGTGCCACATACCAGAATCAGTTTTTTCAAACACGTGGAGAGGCTCCCTCCCTGAAACTTATAAATCTTTTATCTGTGCTAAATAAGCCATAGCCCTTCACCACTGCTCACCTACCATGTGACAGAGCAAGAAGCAACTTACCGTCCCTTTCATTACTGTATCTCCAGACTATCTCTTGCGCACCATCTGCAGCCAGCACGGTCAGACCCTGCCTGGTTCAGAGAGCCTCTCCTCTAGCTTATTCCCTCAGTGTTTCTCTTCTGGCAACATGCCCATCAACAGTGAGAAGCACATAGAGCGAGATTGCTACAGTACTCTCTTACGCACAGGTAGAATTACTACATTTATTTAGCTTTTAAACTGTTTGGATAAATGTGTTCCTGAGTAATGTTTAATTTTGAAAATTAAAGGCATTTCAGAAATATAGACTGACTTACAAATAACCATGTAGTCTGCTTGGGTCTCACCACCTTTCTCTGGGCTAGAGGGTTTATTTTTCCCTTCATAACTGGTGAGAAGAGCAAGCTGACATTACTTGAATTCCTTTCCATATCCGATACTTTGCTTTGGGACTTTCAGTGCTTTAATCAGCCTCTTGTAAAAAAAAAAAAAAAAAGGTCACTAATAGTTCTGGCAGGTGTTAGTAGCACAAGACTTTCCAGTGCCCTGACTGCACTTAGGGAAACAATGATGTGTTGGCTCAGGCAAACTGATTTGAGCACACACATTCAGGGCATGCATAATTAACACCTTGAAGTGAACATCCCTGTATTTGTTTGTAGGTAGTTATGTAAAGGATTGGACACTCCAGTTAGTTGCTGCTTGATAGACTTCCATCGATCACAATTTTAAATATTTGGAAGATTTACATCACACCTTTGTTAACTGGGATCTCTGTAGTTTAGAGTACCTGGATATTTCGAAGAAGTTAGACCTGTATGTTGCCTTAGTGTTAACCTCCTTCTAAATACATTTCTTGAGAATAATTCTTGTGTGTTATCCCCACAGGAGATCAATTTTCTCATCCTATTAAATTTCCCATGAATGGAATCTCAGATGTGAAAAATACCTCAGGAGATAGCAAACACTTCCCATTAAGCTCTAAAAGGTCTGAGGAATGGCCTGACTGGAGTGAGCCTGAAGAGCCTGAAAACAAAACTGTCAGCTTAAAGGTTTGGCCGACAGAACCCCACGATACTGCCAACCCCCCACTCTCTCACCAGACTGCAGAGGAGGAGACTTGGGACGACTTTGAGTCCAGCGGTTTAGATGGTAAAATAAACCCAGGAGATGGAATCACTGCTGCAAGACCTGTTACCTCAGGGGAGCAAACGGCTGTTCCTGCTCTGCTTCCACTCACCCAAGAGTCCCAGGCTTTGAAATCAAGCCCACCCCAAAAGACTAATCTTGCACAAAGCGGGGATAACCCAGACCAAACCAAGCCTACAAAAGTGTTGTCACAAGAAAGGCACCTTAAAGCGCCGTCAGAACTTGGTTTAGGAGAGGAGTTTACCATTCAAGTAAGAAAGAAGCCAGTACAAGACCCTGAGTTGGACTGGTTTGCTGACATGATCCCAGAAATTAAGCCTTCAGCTGCTATTATTATTTTACCTGAACTGAGGACAGAAATGATGGTTCCCAACAAGGATGACATCTCACCAATGATGCAGTTCTCTTCAAAATTTGCTGCAGCAGAAATGACTGAGGTGAGGATTATTAAATTGTGCTGTTAGCATATGGATTTCCCCCAGGTACTAGTTAGAACACACAGCATGCTGTTTTCCCAGCCAGGAAAAGACTAATTAATGTACTCAATGGGTTAAAATGATCCAGTCAAGCACAAAACAAGTTCAGTTCCTATAAAACAGTCCCAAGCATCACTACATTTTTCTGGGGAAGGAAAGTTAAGTGTGTAAAAGATCACTTGTTACATTAAAGAACTTTTTTATTTAAACCAAGAATATGGTGCCAATAGAATGAAATAATTACTGGATTATGCAGTTCTTGTAAAGTGAGTTTGTTACTATAGTTTCATAATACTGGAACCACAGTAATCTTATTCTTCAGCTTCCAGTTATTTTACTTATTAGCACCAAGATATGTACTCTGGCATCAAAAAAGAAAGTGTTTGTTCCCTTTTAAAAAATTCCTGGCTGTGACGATTTGTTGAGCTCGCCCTTTGTCTTGTTGCAGGGCGAGGCTGGAGGCTGGGGAGAAGAAGGGGAGCTCAGCTGGGAAGACAGCACCTGGTGACAACGGGTGTGAATGAAATCTTAGGAAAAAGGATTCCTTTTAAAAAAAAATATCAAACTAATACCTCAAAAGCAGGCTCTACAGACAAGAAAACCCCAAGGCATCCTGTTTTTCCCATGCCAGGAGCTTCTTTTCCAGTCTGTGCCAATTGCAGCGCGAGCCCTCGGGCACCGGCCCTGGGCGGGACCTGGTGGAGCCTGCCTTTGACTGAGGCTGGGTCTGCGAAGACCACGTGGCTGCAGGAAGGTTGGATTTACTGCTTTTTTTCCAGGACAATTCCAGAAGTAGAGAAAATAAATACAAAAATTCAAGCTGATTAGCTTAACTTTGTGCCATTTCTTTAACAGTCAGAAGAGTAAGGTCTATTGTGAAATACAACTTACTGAAAAAATTTTAGCTATAAAGTATATAAATGACAAAATTGCTAAGGTTTCCTTGGGCAGCTTATTTATTTGTTTACAGTTGTACTATCTGGAGTAAATGGCCCTGCTGGGACCTGGGCGATTACTGACTGTTCCACATGTTATGTTGTACCAAAGTTCTTAATGAGAAATATCCCCCACAATCCTGTTCTCTGAATGTCCAATAAAGCCTATTTTAACTAGATTCAACTTTATAAAAGCTGTTTTATGTGAAGATACACAGACATAATTACATCCATTACAAAAAATACTGCAGGGCAACAAAAATCATACCCAATTCTAGTGATCGGGTCCATTCACGTTTCACCCTGGAGCACAAGACATTTTATCTTCTCAGTCCTTTCTTGGAGTGCCTCCAATTCCATCAGGAGCCAGTCTGGAGCAGGAGATTTGTGGATTAATAACTCAGTAGCCTCCAAGGCCCCTGTTGCTGCTTGCAATGCTGACCTGTATTCTTCTTCCAGGGGGAACTCGTGACGGGCTCTCTTTGCATGAGGCTGGCAAATGGGAAAAATGTGATAAGTAATGCCATGATACCCATTCTAAAAATGAGAAAACTTTCTTGTAAAAAAAAAAAAAAGTTTAATGTGAAATTTTCTTCTAGCCATTGCTCCTAAGGGCACCCTAGAAAAATATGTGAATGCATTTTTGCTTTGTCACAATGACTCAGGTGCTACCATTATTGCCCAAGGAAGCTAAGAGAATGGTTGCCTCATCCAGTAATTTCCAGTGAGTATTCTTTAAATATTTAATCTTTTCTTATAGAAAACAAGCCCCATGTGTGAATTTCCTAAATGCTTTCAGTTTTCTTTTTAATAAGTTTATGACTGATAAGAGCTATGGTCTTTGATTTGAAGCCAGTTCAACAATAAATTGTCAGGCTTTCTAACATTGCACTGGGAGTCAGAGGGGCCAAGATGCCTTTTATAATCACTGTTCTTAAAGAAGGGTCATAATTTTTAAAGGTTTATTTATACTATTGATATGTTTGTAGGTTTCAGGCATAAAAGGTACAAGTTACTAACATATACTTAAACATACATAAAAATTATAACTAAAACTTATCAGATTGGTGTTCAAAACATTTAGAATATATTTAGTGGTGTTGATTGCTTCTGATTTTGAGACAAAAGCACAACTTAAGCTGATGGCTCAATAATTAGGCACGGGATTAGAGAAAACATTTTGGAAGGTAAGTTAACTGGTTTTCTTCTGTGGCTCAAACTACTGTATTTGCAGCATCACTTGTATAAGTATATAACTCTCCTAACCCAAAGGTTACTGCAAATAAGTAGTCCCATCAGCTTCCTGATGGGTTGACAACCTTTCATGGAGAAGAAATGTGATTATTAGTTTCTGATCCATACTAGAAAGTTGTCCATACCTGTAAAGATGACCATTTTACTGCTTTTTCAGTAACTTTAGCCAGGGGCACCCAGAAAACACCCTTTTCCTGTTTCACACGTTCCACTTTAGCAGCTGCAGTTTCATCTACAAATCCAGTCTGCAAAATGCATGAAAAACCAAGTCAGCATCCACCCGCCAGCCTTCTCTAGTGGATCACAAATGGTATATGAAGTGCCAAGTGCGAAACAATTCTGGCTTAGCCTGTAAGCTAGGGAGATCCTGGAAGTGGATTCATCTCTAAGTAATTTGGGCAAAATTATATAGGGTTCTTTCCCTGCAGAAAACGTGTATCTTTTCAGGAAGAACTGATAGCCTGCTAACCTTTACAAAATGAAAATTTGGCAAAAGCAATATACATGCACACAGACTTAAATCTAGCTTATAGTATATAATATGAACCTGTGTTATACCTACATTACAGTAGTAAATGCATGTGTATCCAATTATGCTCAGTCATCCCACTACCAGCGCTGTAGTCCCCCAAACTACAGGCTGAGCAGCTTTATACCTGAGACTTAAAATGTGGTCCCAACTGCTTACTAATAGTGTTTCACCACTTTCCTGAGCACTGTGGAAACTGTAAATAATTTCTTCCCAATTGTATAACCAATTTCATGATGAACTTTCTAACTTTTCTAACTTTCTAACACTAACTTTCATGATGAACAAAACAAAGTAAGTATACTACTGTATTGATACTATACAAATAAAATACCTTCTCCAGAAAGGATACAACTTTGTTCTTAGTTTCTTCAGAACTGAGACACTGAGGAACTATCTCTTCAAGATTTGTTCCCTATAAAAGATTAATAAGTAAGACCAATTTAAATATATTTCAACAATCTGCAGAGATATAGGAGTTACTCAAAAATGCATCTGAAAATACTCAGTGCCAACAGATACTCCAAAGATACTATCAAGCATAGTGCTGTTAGCTTTAATTACTCCTGCTGGTTATACCAGCAGGACTGCACAGCAAGGGAGTGAGGCAAGGAGCCACCTTCTCAACAGGACAACACTCACAGGTCTGTGTGCAACACCCTGATGACCCCTGTGATAGTCTGAGTTGAATGGGTTACCATTCATCCCAGAAGTACCATCTGAAAGTGCGTGAGTTAGTAGATCTGGTTTGATGCTTACACTGGTTACTACCCACAGGAGCACAGTAAAGTTACTTCATTTCTCAGTGGCTCATTTTAGTGTATAATAGATGGTGGGTAATAATGCCTTCAGCAGAAAATTTTATGACTAAGATATGAAAGGAGCTCAATACATGTCTGGAATATCTGAAATACTACAATGTTTCGGAGATTGTTGTGGTATCTTAGTCTTACCTCGGCAAACTGGGTAAACGCCTCCAAGGCATGTTGTTCTAGCAGCCAGTTGCTGTCAGCTAGTAATAAGGCAAAAATAGAAGACAGGTTGGGCAGAATTTTGTCCTAAAAAAGAGAATCAGAATTACTAAGTAGAGGAAAATCTGAATAGAGCACATTCAATATACTTCACGTTGCAAGTTTCTCTAATTCCATCCCAATGAACACATAGTTAACACGGGTAGGTCAGGTCACTCCTTTGCTCTTATCCTTCCAATAGCTCCCATTTTCCTCCAGGTAAAAGATCAAAGTCCTTACAATGGCATGCAAAGCCCCACTCCCTGTGTGGCTGTCCTGGCTCCCCAGGCATATCAGGCATGCTTCTGTCTGACTCCTGCATGGCTGGCTTGCTCAGCTTCAAGATTTACTCACATGTCCCTTCAGTGAGCAGGCTCTTCCCCACCACTGCTTAATTTTTCTCCAAATTACTCCCCTCCACTTAATATATATGTGTCACTACTGTGCTAGTCTGCTTCCTCTCCACAGACAGTGGTGGGTATATATATATATACTTGATCAGTTTAGTTTTGTTTTTTTTTTTTTTATAGAGGCATGTTTATTTATTTATTTGTTTGTTTGTTTTGTTTATACATGCACTGGGCACAGTCAGAAGCACGGGAGGGTGAGAGAATTCACCAGAGCCAGAGCAGGGAGCAGAGCAGGCAGAAGGACCGAAGTACACTGCTGAGGGGAGCAGCGGGCGGCAGGAGAGGTCTGAGCGCCATGTGGGATCCTCCTCCAGTGGCCGGGGAGCAGCCGGGGATCGAACCGGCGCCGTGGGAGGTCGCAGGCAGCTTCACAACCCAGCGCTCAACCGCTGCGCCACCGGGGAGGCCCCTGATCAGTTTAGTTTTACTGAAACCTCAGTAATCGATTAAAATAGCACCTGGTACATAGCAAGAATTGTTTTTTCTTGAATAAATGTATCAATCTCATCTGGGAACTTTAAAATGCCTCAACATGCTGATGGACCCCAAAATTTCTTCAGGGCCTAACTTCACTCCTGGGAATACATAATGTAACTTTTGCTAATAAAACATCTTTTCCTTAGATTTTTGGGCACATTAGGGTCCACAACTACACATAAATGAAGCAGCATTTTGAGTATATTTTATGCTAGAAAGATTGCTCAAATGCAAGTATCTTGGTATACAAAACTTTTTGTACAAATGGTAGAGTAGTATTCACCTGTGAACAAATAAATGAAAGGGTTCTGTAGAAAAGAGCCAGTTAAATTTTTGGCTTCAGAAATTTTAATCCACATTTATTGACTAATGTCCATAATAGCTTTCTGATTACAGAAACAGCTCACTGATGAGCTTATATACATATGGGGGAAAAAAAAATCAAGTTTCTAGAATTGCTGGATTTGGACCAAAGTAATAAGGAAGGCAGAACCCTAAGAGAGAGAATTCCTTTTGCTGAGATAGATATGTGATAAAATTTAGTAAATGAGTATGGTTAGGTCATAAAAGTACACTTTCATAAATATCCTTTCCAACATTTTGGAAAACACTGTCTTTTCCTTTAATATAAAACCAAGAAAATAACTTCAGTAACCAGATTTTCTCATTAAACACTGCATCCTGTGAGACAAATATGTTTTCCCTCCTCAGGAGCTTTGTGTGCTAAAGCCTAGTTGGACTGAGAATCTTCGACTAACAGACAACACAGTTACTTCTATATCAACATGATTTTGGAAGAAAACAAGTTCTGTAGTAACATCATCTCTCCACAAGATTTTTTTTTCACTAACTTTCATTGTCAACAATACACAGAAGTCCCCAAATTAAAAGCCTGCAAATCCCTCAGTCACTTATTCTACAGAGATTTTGCTTTTAATAACATGATAACAAAATAAGAGTATTACCTGGGTAGCCTGAGATATAGTAAGTTTTCCTAGAGAAGATAGGAAATCCAGCATTGCCAAACGAACATGGTCAGGAGGCTCCAACTTAAGAAGTGAGGTTTGCAAAATTATTACCTATGAGGGAAACACCACAAACAGTTATAAATGAAGAGACTAAATCACTGAGATTTTGATGGGTATGTGGGCAAGGGAATCAAAACTCAGCCACTGAACACTCCACAAAGCCTAAATCACAAGTAGAATTTAAAGAGCACAAGTGATTTGAGTTCATCTTACAGCATTCTTCCTACCAACCACTACTGTAAGCAAAAAATTAAAGGCAAAAAACCCTGTGTTCCTGAAAAACTATATACCAGTGCTCTTCCTTCAATTTTTAAAATGTATATTTTTCATAAATGATAAATTCATTCCTTAAAATGGAGACCGGTAACCTTTCTATAAAGGACCAGATGGTAAATATTTGAGACTTTGTAGGAACACAGGAATGTTCCCCATGAATATAAACATACAAAATATAAAAATCATCCTTAGTTCTTGTGCTGAAAAACAGGATGGCAGAATTTAGTGAGATCAGATTTTGCCAACCCCTGAATTTAAAGGAACAGTGAGACCAAGTCTTTTATAAAGGAATCAATCCCTAAATGATTTTGTTGAAATTTCAGACCCTTAGTTAAGCAAAACTATCTGTCTTTAATTTCTGAAAGAATATTAGATCCTTTAGTCAACAAATAATTTGTCAATTATTTGCAGTATTCTCATTTTCTATAATTTATTAGTCCATGTTTACACATCTACTTAATTAAAATGTATATAATTAGTAAATACTTGTTAATGCTAATTTCTTCATGTACATAATGCTAATTTCTTCATGTAGCTCACCAGAGCTACTGAAAACAAAGTATTACTAAATTTCACTTCCTACCACCATGTACCCTGACAGGTTACACTTCTTCCAGCATCCAAAACAGAAAGGGTTATTAGCTTTACATCCTAACAGTTTGTGTGTGTTTCTTAGGTGACCATAAACTTAAGCCAACTCTTGATTTTGGAGATCAGGTCTGCCTAGGCAAGAACCCATTTCAAGGCCTCAAAATCACTTCAGGCAAGATGAAGGTCTCTTTTCATGAGCTCAGAACTTTCAAAAGGGGAGCATAACTTAGGTAACATCACAAAAATTCTCTGGACAAAGACCCCAGTTCTACCTGCCTCACCCCATATAAGCTGGGGGTCAAAACGAAAACTCAGTAGTTGGATCAAAACTATTTTATTGCAAAGAAACAATGAGGACTAGCTGTAAATCCATTTTGGTCCCCACTCTCACAGCTGCTCAAATGCCTTTTAATCTGCTGTGATTCAGAGTCAGCATATGAGCCATGAGCCTAACCTCAGGGACTTTTCTTGAGCAGCTAACATAATAAACAAGATTTGAGGGCTCAGTACCAGGGAGGTTGGGAAAAACAAAAGGCTGCATTTCCAGCCAGTTACACTAACCACATTCTCCTAGAAGGAAGGAGGAGACGTGAGGAGACATCCTTGGACAGTAAGTGAATCTATGATGTTCATGTTCAGTAAGAAAGGATAACGTACAAACTGGGCAATAAATCATTAAAAAAGGACTTGCTAGAAAGTTATTTTAAGTCATACAAGCTTAACTTTCTCAACAAAATATCAATTTACTCACTATTCTTACCTGATATATCAACTGAGGATCTAGCGTTTGAATGAAAAATCCCAACAGTGGAAGTAAAAGGCTGAGTGTCTGCTGAACACAAGGCTGACTTGTTACCTTAAATAAACAAAATAATTTGAGAAAATTTTAAATTACATGAGACTAGCAACCTTCTAATGAGCATTTATTATATACTGGGCAATGGGCTAGGGCTTTCTACTTATCTCACCTTAAACAACTATGATACTATTATTATAGGTAGATCTCATCACCCTCACTTTACTAATAAGAAAAAGGGGCAGCAAGACTAAGTAATTTGCTGAAGATCATGTGGTCAGTAAAAAGCAGAGCCATAATTCAAAGATTTAACTCACACAGAGAGCTAAGTACTTCTGTCTGCTACTGAAAAGTTTTTATGTTCCTTTCAGTTCTTGAAATCCCATCTCTCTTCTCTGTAATTGTTGTTTCTATCATATTGTAAGTTGTGTTCCCCAAGAGAGATCCCCAGGGAATATATGGCTTGTGAGATCAGGGGAAAGCACTTGTTGAAGCCAAAATACTGCAGTAGAGAAATCTGCCATACATGAACTTTAATGAAAAAAAAAAAAAAAAAAAAAACAGTAACTGTAAAACTACTGCTGTTAGTTCCCAAAAGTATGAATGTTGCCTTTAGCTTTCACTGGCTGGTATAACTAGGGCACAGACTTACTTCTATTTAGTCAAGGGAAACAAATGTGATATTTAGATTTTTGAAACATCGTTTAAAACTACCATAATCTATGAGACATGGATCATTCTAAGTCTAGCTCAACCAGCATTTGGTCTCTTTGGCTTTGCTGAGGAAGAGGAATACAAATCAACTATAACCCAGTTACCTGCCCCTTCCACCTGTAAAACATCATTTAAAAGACCTTAAAATCACAGGAGCAGGAACTCACCCAAGAGAAGAGTAATCGGGGAAGAGATTTTTAAAATACTGGTCCTGAAAATACACTGAATGTCACTGTCACCTTACTAGACTCTAGTTTCACTAATATAATTCTATCACATTCTTACAAAGAACTGGCTGGCAGTACAAACAGGTATCTAAAGTTCTAATCCCAAGTTCTAAATAAATCACTAGCACCCATAGATATTTTACTCTACAGAGAAATTTCAGTACTATTCTCCTTTCTCAATATTTGTTCTTAAGAGATGATCAGTGCTTCTCTTACCAGTTTAATGTTCAAAAAGGCCCAAAGCTGACTCCCAACTTCCATAATTGCAGTCTGTTGTCCAATATCCAGAGCTTCACTAGCAGAATTACACACAGCGAGCAGAGCAGAGAGTGCTGTGTTCTATAAGGGAGAGACAAGGGAAAAGACCTGCATTCACACACCAGTTCACACACCAGAGCTGGAGCCCCACTATCTGGTGTTATGAGTTACTAATAACTCTTCATAAAAACCCAGATAAGAGTTATATTCCTAAGACCCACGGTAATCTTTTCAGCTATTCATTTAGTACAGTGTATTTCATTAAAACTATTTTTTCTGATACCCAGAAACATTTGCTTCATTTTTCTAAGCAAACCTTTCTCACTTTTGGGTAGAAAATGAAATTTAAACAGCACTGCATTTTAATTTATAAATGGTATGGCCAAGCTGACTTATAATAGTCATTAGCAACTAAAAATTTTGTATATTCACACTATGTACCTAGCAATCTTTCTAAATTATTAGACTTCTAATGTTTTGTATCTTTAAAATTTCTCAGGAACACTACATTCAATAAGCACACACAATGCTTGAGAATTATACTACCTAAAATGTGAAACTAATCTCTGGATTTATTCTGATCTCTGGCCAAGAATAGTGTGAGCTGAGGTGTAGGGGTGTAATGTGAAAGCCATGTGAGAATGTAATGATCAGTAACAGTAATGACTTTAATCCATTAACTTCAACCACCACATTCAACTTTATCTGATTACTACACATCTTTTAAGATTTACTTATTTCCATTCCCAAAAAGGCATTATAAATGAACTGCCAAGCTGAAGTTTTGGTCATAGATATTTCTTTCTTTTTAGAAAACAGACGTGTTACTTTACCGATAAAAGTTAGTGTACAAAAAAATGCAATGCCTGAGCAGTTTAACCTACCCGACTAGGTATTTAATAGTTTTCCTAAAATAAAGGCACATGAAAATCACATTTCCTTTTGATATGTTTTAAATTATTCTAATAATTATGGTCAAATGCCATTACATACCAAAGTATCAGAATATTTACACTCAGTATAGAAATACATGCCCTGCAAAAAACCCTGAACTCAAAATTACTCAATCCCTTGAATGTCCTGCCCCCATACTTGATTTTTCTCCCCTTATCACAAAATGACATATTACTTATTTTACTGTACATAGCTAAGTCCATGAAATTAGGGATTTTTGCTTGTTTTGGGTCCCTGATTTACAAATCCCCAAATAAATCCTAGAACAGAAATTGGCACGTAAGAACACTCAAAATATGTCTGTTGAATGAATCAGTAAGTGAATATGATAAAACTGGAAAATTCAACTACACGTACTATATTCAATTTTTAAAAATCCGATTTTTTATTTCTTATAGGTGAGCTTCCTTTTATCCTATTAAGAGGAAACATCCTAAATAAGGAGGTACACAAAGGCTCAGAGTAGGTTTGCACAAAATTCTAGTTTTGTCAGCTAGAATATCTGCTATTAATCCAGAGATGTGCCATCAAAAATACTGCAAATAAAGTGTTTCATAATGTGTTTCATGTTGTTCCCAGATGTCCTGAGCTACTAAACAATTTATATTAATCAAGATAACAGTAGTTTCTCATAGATACCTTTACAATACAGAAATCTCAAATACTGCTAGGTTCTAATCTGCAGGCAGAAACTGTGTCTATCTACTACCAAGCCATCCCCAGTAGCTAAGAAAGTGCTCAATAAACAGTCACTGAATGAACTAAGTCAATCAAAATCATTGCCTTACCAGAGACACGAATTCTCCCATAGTGTGGCGGCCACTCAGCCACCCCCTGCACTGGGCGGTGCCTGCTCTGGAGACCTCACATGCAGCCTGTTTCCTGAGCTCAGCAGGTAATGCCTGGAAGGAAATATATTGCCACAGAAGCAAATTTTCTGCTGCTTTTGGGGAAAATTTCTGGATAAACTCCATCTGAAATAAATTATTAAAAAGACAAGAATAACGAAGTCTGATGAATGCACAAAAGCTAAATAATAGCTTCCATATTTAATGTTTAAAAAGTAACACAAGTGAGCATGAATTTTTTGTTATCCCTGTTTTCAAAATAAAAGACAATTTAAATAGAGCAGATACAAATGCACTAAGAATGTTTAATATTTTATCATGCTTCCACACAAGCAGTCTAATATTGTCCCAAGCATCTGTGTGCTTATCACCTTGCACAGTTAAGCCAAAAATGATGTTTCAAAATAAGCCAACAAGATTGAGTCAGTCAACTTTTGTGGCTATTATCTAATCTATCAACAGGACTGATAAAAGTAAGTCATAGGTTCAGTTTCCTAGTAGGCTACATCTGAAATTAGTTTCAGAAGTGTAAGCCACAAGTCCATAACACTGTGGTTGGCAAATTGGCAAATCCATTCTACCACTGAAAGAATAGTTCAAAGTATGTAGTATGTCATGTTAACACAAAAAAATGGTACTTCTCCTAAAATGGAGCATCAATACTATAAGTTTGACAGAAACTATACTGTTGTTTAGTGTATTTATATTCAAATTTTACTTTGCAGAAAATATGTAGCTGTCAAAATAAGGGCAAAATCATGTGGCCATTTTCTAGGATAGCTGCTAACGTCAAAAAAGTAGGGGCCTCCCCTGGTGGCGCAGGTGGTTGAGCGCAGCGCTGTGAAGCTGTCCGCAGCCTCTGCAGCACCCAGCCAGGTCGGTGAGACTCCCACATGGAGCGGCAGACCTCACCTGTCTCGCCCGCTGCTCCCCTCAGCAGTGTATTTCAGTAAGTCTGCCTGTTCTGTTCCCGCTTTGTCTCTGGTGAATCCTCTCACCCTCCCACACATCTGGCCTGTGCCCCAGTTCTTGTATGCATGAATAAATAAATCTTTAAAAAAAAAAGTCAAAAAAGTAGGTCCTTTGCTGAACTATGCTATTATAAGAAGCCACTTTATTTATGAAATCAAAGTACATCAGGAAAGCCAAGAGAAATATGCCAACTGATAAGATGTAGTTCAACATCACCTTTCTCTATAATAAAGTCCCATGAGTGAATGAACTGGGTCCCATTCCACAATAGAAACAATAGTGCCTTGGGCTACATAATAGGATAAAGGTGGCCAGATTTGTTACAAAGAAGCATTTTATTTATACTCGAGTTTGAAAATTCTGGTATCAATGCAGTTTTAAAGATTTAAACTGACAATTCACAAACAGTGAAGTATAAAGGAATATATGCAGAGAATTATGACTTCCCTCCTTAAAACTGAGTAGAGAGGGGGCCTCCCCTGGTGGAGCCGCGGTTGAGTGCTTGACTGCGAAGCTGCCCGCAGCCTCTGCAGCGCCGGTTCGATTCCCAGCCACCGGCGAGGGTCGCACATGGCGCGCAGACTTCTGTCGCCTGCTGCTCCCCTCAGCAGTGTGTTTCGTCAGTCTGCCTGTTCTGTTCCCCACTCTGGTGAATTCTCTCACCCTCCCGCGCTTCTGACTGTACCCAGTGCTTGCATAAATTAATAAATCTTAAAAAAAAAAAAAAAACTGAGTAGAGAGGAAAAAATACACCAGTGGGCTTAAAAGGCAATAGTAATTTTTACTTTATATTAAAAATGGTAGCGTTACGTTAGTGCAGAAGGCACATTAAACCTCCTTCATTAAGGTAACTCCCCTCCTCCTACTCATAGGTCCTTTAACACATATCTCAAACACCATCAGCTTCCGCCACTCCTGGTCCCACAGCACCTCCCCAGAAGCGATCTCTAACCTACGAAGACCCAACAAATCTCATTTGTGCCTCAGTTGGAAAAGCACATGGAGCAGTGGCAGGTGCACAGATTTTATAATCAGGTCAGGTTTGAATCCCAGCTCAGTCATTTATTGTGGCAAGTCTGGGGAAATTATTTCCCTGAGTCACTACTACATCTGTAAAACATGAACTCATCTAAGGCTGCTGTGGAACTAAATGAATTAAAGTGCCTGGTACAAAGCCTGGCACATACTATAGTCTCAAAAAGGTCAGTTCCCTCCCATTTCCTTTAAGAAAAAGGATCACATCTGAAGAGAAAAGGAAAAAGAGCCAAGAGGGGTGTTTTATACCTTGAAGATAACCTTCAAGGAAGGTAAGACAAGGGTTAGTGAGGTTTCATTGGTACCTAGACAACCTCTCTAAAGGCAGGGAAGCAGACATGGACTTGGGGCTAAGACCCTAGTAAGAAAGACGGTTAGTAAGTATTGAGCATTCCTCTAAGCCTAGAAATGCTAAGTGTTTCACAAATATTAACTGTCAGTTCTTACAAATCTTTCAAAATAGTTGTACATATCTGCCACCTTGTAGGCAAATCAGGAAGGATGACTTTCCCAAGGTCCCAGAAAATCAGGATTCAAACCAAGGTCTGTACACTTAAGAACTGGTGAAGAACCCCTTCACTTATCTAGCAGTTCCCAAGCTGGGATCCCTGTCAAAATCATATAGAAATTTAACAAATAACAACAACTACCAAGTCTCACAGTACAGCCACCACTCCGTTGATGAGTTAGAGTCAAAGAGCCCATACTTTTGTAAAGCTCCAGAAGCTCCAACATGCACTGTGCTACACAGGTCTCTGTACTGGAGACTCTATCATGGAAGCATCTGCTTTCCTCACAATAGTAAGCAGGGAAAGCTCATTGTGCTTTTAATTTTCCCCTAGAAGATCAAATTGTTTGAAAAATTAGAGACACCACTAAGGGCATAAATAATATTCTAGCTCTTCAAAATAAGCTAAAGAGGCAAGAGAGATGGGACCATGTCATTACATCTTAACTGCATGAGAAAATAATGTATATTTCCAGAAGAGAGAATGACTACAACTAGCAGTGAAGACATTCTCAAGGATTCTTTCCTTGGCCAAACTTAAGAGAGGCAGGTGCTTCTGAGCTTTCTTCTCAACTACTATTCACCCTTATGCTTCAATGTCCAGATTTAGCAAGAATCTGAAGTCAGCTTAGAGAAATTTCCCCAGTCTTGTCTACATTTAGCAAGAATGCAATGATTCAATTTAGCCAGAATCACACCCTTACCCGGAATTTCCTCTGAGTAATTTTTGTCCACTCATTTCCACCTTGCTCTGTGGCTATTGATCCTTATTTGTCCGTGTGGATTTCAGAATTGAGCCCAGTTCTACACTAAGGACCCTTCTCCCTGATTGCAGTAGTTCCTTAATAAAATCTGTCCTTACAATTTAAACTACAGTATATATAGCTCTGGTTTTTCTTTAATAGTATCAAAATCTAAATCCAGCTAAAAGTAAAAAGCAAATTAAATACATTAAAAATCTATGCTCAGGGGCCTCCCTGGTGGCGCAGCGGTTGAGCGCTGGGTTGCGAAGCTGCCCGCGGCCTCTGCGGCGCCGGTTCGATCCCCGGCTGCTCCCCGGCCACTGGAGGAGGGTCCCACATGGCGCGCAGACCTCTCCTGCCGCCCGCTGCTCCCCTCAGCAGTGTACCTCAGTCCTTCTGCCTGCTCTGCTCCCCGCTCTGGCTCTGGTGAATTCTCTCACCCTCCCGCGCTTCTGACTGTACCCAGTGCATGTATAAACAAAAACAAAACAAACAAATAAATAAATAAATAAAGCATGCCTCTATAAAAAAAAAAAAAAAAATCTATGCTCAGATTTGTCAATAATAAAACATAAAATAAATGGCAAGAAAGGGGGAGGATAGAAGGTCTACATAAGAGTCTGAATCCAACTCTCAGCAGCTGCTGGAAGACAGTAACAAAGTTGATATCCTTGCCTGTTGGGGTGGGGTCATGAAGAAGAAGAGACGCCTCAATAGTATGGACAGGTTGGTAAGCTGATAACATTCTCCAGGGCAAGACTTTATCTGGGAAGACAGGAGAGAAAGGTAAGATCGGTTGATTTAAAATCAGTTTTCATAAGTTTTTATATGCAAAATTATTAACACTAGTTCTTTCTGGAAGATAAAATTATAGGTAATTTTTAATTTTAAGCTTTTCTTTCATTTATGAACCTAGATTAATTTTATAATGAGAAAACATTACTTAAAAACATCACTCTAGAATTTCTATTTCTAGTTACTATTTTGATATTTACTATACCTACTCAAAGAAAAGTCACGGGATTTTTAAAGCTTTAGGCACAACAGTATAGTGGCAGATTTAAATATACAAAATGAAATTCTTAATAAAAGATTTTGTTAAGTCAATATTCTGGAAATCAACTCCTATTATAATGTACCAGCAGAGCCTTTATTTAAAGGAAAGCTTTTGTGTAAAGAAGACCTAAAACACATAACATAAAAACCGCTCTTTATCTGTTTTATGCAATATAAGTGTGTTAGTGCTCCAGATAGTTAGCATGGAGACAGACATCAGCTGCCCTGCACTACACTGGATTTATACATGCTATAATAGTATGTATAATGGACACACATCTATATGGACATAATAGCTCTTCTAGAAACCAAAGATGCAAGCACCCACATAAAATATATATCAAAGGCTGGGGTCAAAAAACAACAAGCCATGACCACCTGGTATGGAATATATTAAAAACCACCTCAGAATTTAAAAGCAAAAGGTCAATAAAAAGACTAAAACCATCACTAAATCATTTTTTTCTTTGTACCCTTTCACAAAGCACCACTATCCCAAAAGCATTCATTACTGACAAATTTAGTCCCCCTCAAGTCATCATCACTGAAATATAAAACAAAATCAAGAGTCAAGTTGTCAAAGTCATATTGAAATGAGAGAAAGTAATATGAAGTCTTGGTCATCAACATTGTAACTAACAACTATTTCTACTGTGCATTCAATTAAGCTTGTTCTCAGTTAAGTTAGTCTTTCTAACAGGAACACTAAAAAACTTCAGAAATACGAAACTATTCCCCCAGTTTTGCCATGTTTCTAGTAATCTTTCTCAATAATATAAGCATTAACGCAGGTAAAGAAAATTATCAAAACAACTTAGCTACCATGCTATTTCGACTTTGATAGTCATTCTTTACAATTATCACATCCCCAGAGAACAAACAGAAAGCGGATATTCAAGGCTGTGTAATTTCACTCACCAGATGAGCCACTATGGTGACATGGTGTGCACAGAGTTCAGCATTCCCATATCTGTAATACATAGAGAAGGCAATCTCTACAGTTATTTATCCAAATATTCAGAAATTAAGATACACTCCATAAAGAATTATTTTCATAAGGGCATGTAACCTGCAGGTATTCCATGGCTAAGGAATATCAAAATATATGAAACTATCCCAGCAACTGTTGCGTCTTTGGCTTGAACCAAAGAAAGAAAAGAGGGAACTTGGTTCCTAATTAAGAAATGTTACATGAATTAAAACCATTTTGAGGGGTTGTAAAAAGACTAGAAAAAGAAGTTTTCTACAGACTATTAGGTATAAAATAATTTATTTAGTCTAGCAAGACAGTGGCAGAGTGAAGACTCCAGGCTTGCCTCTTCCACATAGTCACAACCCAATCACAAAGCAAAATCAATAACCCCTAAAAGATAAAAGGTGACTATGGCATACAAGAGAATCAAAAGTTCAGTGGGAAGGCATATGAAAAATTATAAACCATGTCTAGAGCAACAGCATGTAATACATGTCAAGAAAGGGAAGAGCATCTGCTGTATAAAACGCCTCTCCTGTTGCTGACTCAAAAGGCACATTCCCATATGGATGATTTCAAAAATTGGATACCACAATGGAGAAGGGGGTGCAGAGAGCTGATGTGCAGGACACAAGGCACACCCCCAGAGAACTAAGGTAGTAAGGGAGAAGGGTGATTACTAGCTTGAGCCTGACGCTCCTAAACTAAAGCACATGGACCCAAATCTGCAGAAGAGACTGTGTCTCCTAGAAGAGGCTAGGATTGCAGCCTGAGGCTGTGATATTGAAAATACCTGCCTGACCCAGGGCCCAAACCCAGACAGCAACTGACTGCTCTCACGAACCGGAGTTTAGGGCTCTGGATGTCAGTAACAGGAGCAAGCGGCCCAAGGTCAGACTATTCAAAGAGCAAAGGAAAAATTCTCACTTGCAGCTCTGTTTCAACTCTGGTCCTCAAGCTAGCACTACAGCTATTGCTCAAGCACTAGAGTCTAGAGTGGAGGTTGGCACGAAAATGCAGGACACATTTGGTTCAGAGTTGGCCTACAGGAGAGGAATCTCTGGGTATACCCACCACAGAACTCAGGTACCCACAGCACTACCAGAAATTTGAACCCTTAATGCTCACTGGAAGTGACTACTCAATGGCCTGACGCCCCGATACCTTCCCATTACCCCATGCCAACCCCAATGCTGTGGCCATTTCAATAGGTAAAAGGCATTGCTCTGTGAGATAACAGCTATTGAAATATCCTGAAAAAAAGTCATTAAAAAAAAAAACAACTCCCTATTACAACCTATAGACACTAATAATGAAGAGACAAAAGAACATTCCACAAATGGAGCAAAAACACCCCAAGAAAAGTCTCCATTCAGCAGAACTGCAGAATGTGATTGATAAGGAGTTTAAAGTAGCAATTATAACCATGTTTGCCATTAAGAAAAATTGAATGATGAAAGACAGGAACACACAGACTGAGAAAACATGAGAACATGTTGCAAGTAGAACTAATGGCTCTAAAAAATTACTGTAACCAAATTAAAATACAATAGAGGGTCTCAACAGTAAACAAAGGCAAGGAATGGAGAGAAATTAGTGAGCTTAAAAGTACAGTGGTGAATACACAAATGAAACAACAAAGAGGGAAAAAAAACATTTAAGAGCTCTTCAGGACCTAAAGAGAAGTAATATCTGTGTCATGGGGATCTCTGAAGGAGAAGAAAAAAAGAGAAAAGCATAGAAAACTTAAAGAAATAACTGCGAATACCACCTCAAATGGGAGATGAACTAGACATTCTGATCCCAGAGGCCCAAAGAGTTCCAAAGAAAATACCAACAGACACACACCAAGACACATTGAAAGCCAATGACAATGACAGAATAGTAAAAGCATTGAGAGAAAGAAGAAAAGTAACCTGTAAGGGAATCCTATTAGACCATCTGTGAACTTTTCAGTGGTAACCTTATAGGCACGAAAGGGAATGGCAGAATACAAAGTATTCAAAGAAAAAAAAAGTCCAGCCTAGAATACTCTAATCCTGCAAGGTTGTCACTTGAGAAGGTAAGAAATGTCACTGAAAAGCCAAAATTAAAAGAATATGTCAACAGCAAGCCAGATATAAAAGAAGTACTAAAGGGGTTATAAAGCAATAAGCAAATAGAGAGGTAAACAGATAGCTAACTATAAATTGAAGAGTAAAAATGTGCAGCAATCTCTGGGGTGAAATGAAGCAGTTATTTAGAAGAGCTAAGTGTCTGTCTTTTTTTTTTTTGTTTTTAAATTTTTTTTTTAATAGAGGCATGTTTTATTTATTTTATGTATTTATTTGTTTGTTTGTTTGTTTATACATGCACTGGGTACAGTCAGAAGCGCGGGAGGGTGAGAGAATTCACCAGAGTCAGAGAGGAGAGCAGAGCAGGCAGAAGGACCGAAGTACACTGCTGAGGGGAGCAGCGGGCAGCAGGAGAGGTCTGCGCGCCACGTGGGACCCTCCTCCGGTGGCCGGGGAGCAGCCGGGGATGGAACCGACACCGCAGAGGCCGCGGGCAGCTTGGCAACCCAGCGCTCAACCGCTGCGCCACCGGGGAGGCCCCTAAGTGTCTGTCTTTGTAAGGGGGGGAGGGGGAAAAAGCACTTTAATGAACTGATATAATAGGTACCGGTGGTACAAAAATAAAATCACTATCCTCAATCACTACTACAAATCAATCTGAAAACCAAAAATTATGTTGTACCGAGCAAGGAAGCACCAAGCATCCATAGCTAACAAAGAGGTGATCATATTAGCATCCAGCACAGCATTCAATAGGGCAGCCTCCTAAAGAAAAACCAAAGTTTGTGATAAATTCTTATTACTATTACATTTCTCAAAGTTAAAAATAAGACTATCAGAATCCAAATAACTACTCTCCAGTATATGAAAGAAGTTATGCTGCCACCCCCTCAACATTTATTGAGCACCTACTATATGTTAAGCACGGCGCTGAGCTATGTGAATTCCAAAGTGGCTTTAAATGTGGTAACTCAATCCCTAATAGCCACAAAAAAGTCTCTAAATATCCTGAAATCTTTGAAACATATAAAATATGTTTTTGCCTTTAACTATTCAAGTACAATATTTAACATGCACTCACTGTGTAACGTCTTAAATAATGTTGACAAATAAATTCTAAGAATTTTTTTTTCCTACAATTTCCTCAACCTCTTTTCTAATCTGGTTCCACAGACACACATACACATCTTCATTAGGCCTAAGATCTGTAGGAGACTTGGTACTATAAACTATTAACTTCTTAATTAATTGAATCAGGTAAACACCTGCGTATCTTTTCTCATTCTCTTTTCATACATATCCACTTAAAATGTTTTCTCAAGCAATTTAGCTAGATATTACAACTGAATGCTACTGTGTCCTATTTGTTAGGACATAACTGATATAAGTGATAAATGTGCAAGCTGAGAGAACTACATTTAAAAAGAATATATATTAAGTATTCCCACACTTTTTTCTATATCTGAATCACAAATTTCAATGAAAAGCCAAAGTGTAACTTTAGTTTAGCCCAACAAGTAGCAAACTTACCAGTTCAGGAAATAGTGAGGGATGGAAGGAAGTAATGAATGTACATAGATGAACACAGACATGCTGGTACAAGGTGACAGCAACCTCAGTATGCCCTTTACTCTCGACTCCCTGTAAATGAACAGGCAGAGAGAGTTCACCAGAACACTGCTCGAAACTGTAGAAAATGGTTTTGAGTAGAGACACCCTGCAAGGAAATCGAGAACATTGAACCCATTGTTATTAACATTTTGTAGCTGGCAGATAGACTAACAATATGATACATAGTTATTTTAGCAAAGCAGACTGTTATAAGAGGTACATATGAACAAGTTTCTAATATGGGTGAACATGTTCACATAAAAATAAAATATAGTCCCTACTGGAGAAATTCCTTAAAATACAAGAATTTTCCTGCACATTTTTTAAAAATATATACAAAGTCAAAGACAAGTTTGCCAAGGAACTTGAGATTAATATAGCATAATATCTTAAATAGCTACATTAGATATAAATAAAACAAAAAATAAGTATTATAGCTCAGACAGGGAAGGGTCATTTTAAGATGAAATGGTTGAGAAATTTCAGAGGATTTTAAATAATTAAAAATAAGCAAAATACAAATAAATAACAAAGACAAAGTATGAGTGAAAGGTACACATGAATAACCACTCTGACAGAAGCTAGATATATATATGTAGGAAAGAATGAGGAACAAAAGCAGAAGAGAGCAACAAATAGGATGCACTTTAAATACAAAGCTGAGAAATTCTAACATGACGCTGTAGTTTCTGAGAGACACTGAAGAACAGGAAACTCAGAACTGCATTTCAGAAGACTAACCTGGTATTTATACACAAAATATATTAAAGGAAATGGTGAAAAATTAAAATATAGCAATAACCCAGGGAGTAAGAAACTCGAGACAATATTGGCAAGGAGGATAAATACCAGTGAAATTCCCCAGAAGATAACTAGAATGCTAGCTACTCTAAGTTACCAGAGCTTGTTTTTAAATGTTACTAAATATATATACCTAGTCTATTAAACTCAGTGTTTACAACACTACTAGGCAATACCCTTTAAAACATTCAACAAAATTAAAATATTTTTAGCATTGCTACAGATTTTTTTATACATACATATATAGAGAGGCTTTATATTTATCCATTTTAGTAAAGCAGCAAAATAGATGAGGTCTACACAGTTAACTGTTAACCAGAATACCTGACATAACAATAAGGCATTTTAAGCCATTTGTAATATGATTGGAATTATTATTCATAATATGAGTAACTTATTTGCTACCTGTTTGTCACCTCTGAGACTTGGTTTTCTGCACACCACAGGGTCTGCACATCCTCAGGTTGAGAGGGCAGCTTATCCATAATGACAACCAGCAGCAGACACTGTGGAAACTGTAGTTCACATGACAGCTCTTACAGTAACAGAAACACATTAATTAGTTACAACAGATTGGTAAAAACACACTCCACATATTTTCAGCAGAAATCTGCTATAGGTAAAGAAATTGGAGGCATAATTCTTTTTGTGACAAATATGTTCCAAGACAACAAAGTAGAAGGAATTTTTTTTTTTTTTTTTTTTTTGTGGGACCCTCACCGGTGGCCAAGGATCAAAATGGCGCTGCAGAGGCTGCAGGCAACCCAGCGCTCAACCGCTGCGCCACCAGGGGAGGCCCAAAGTAGAAGGAATTTTAAGTAAAATTTTCAAAAAGGTTATACACATGAGGAAAATAATCCTGTCTCTGACACATCGTCGCTAATAGACGATTTAAGATTAAATCTGCTTTGAAGCTTACCTAATTTACTGTCCAAAACCACTTGCATGAAAGGTTGGAATGTGAGAAGCTGACTAATAAGTGGGTCCAGAGTCACCAGGAAAGTGCATGCTATTTCTTTCTGCTGTGTTTTGGAGATGCTGGCAGCATACAGGCTGGGAGGAAACTTGCTGAAAGGGAGGAATAAAATTCAGTAATAGTTACCTTCTACTTTTAGCTACAGATAATTATGTAAACTGATATTCTTCTACCAGTGAAATATGTAAAAAATTGCTACACATTTTATAAAACAAAAGCCAAACTACTAAATACCATAATTGTATGAAGATCTATAAACAAAATAACATGGCTATGAATCTATAAAATTAAACATTTATCATCTTTGGTATTGTTTTGATGCATTTTAACAATGGTATCCTTAAATACTATAAAAATATGAGTCATATTAAATATATTAATATAGACTTATATTAAATATGAGTCTTAACTTGTGAAAACATTACATCTAAAAAGAGTTCTGGTAAACTCTGGTTTAATTATCTACATTAAAAGTTGTTTACAAATCAACAGAATGCTGACTTTACTATAAATTAATCCTGGTTTCTCAGAAGCAAGAACTTTACAAGAACTAAACTACATACTAACAGCGACAATACAAAGAGTTTTTCATGGAAATTGTCTGAGTGACTGGGACTTCAACTTTAATCATAACCAATGTGAAACTAGATATATAGTCAATACTCTCTGCAATGTTGTTCTGTGGCAAATTTGACAATACATGAGAAGTCTGTCTTCCAGGGAATAGAAGCATATGGAAGAATTCACTTAAGATAACACTTCGTAGTTTGATGGGAAAAACAATCTGCCAATTATTGACTACATGAATTTGGTTCATTCATTTGATCTCCTTGAGCCTCAGTTTCTTCACTGAATCAATGTAACGCTGATTCAGTTATGAGGATTAAAGTATTGAGGCAAGAGACATAAAATAAATATAGGTAACAAAATTCCATAAACTTGAACAGCTTGAACAGCTACTGAACATCGAAGTAAGTGTTTCAATCAAACAATGCATTCTAAAATTCATTTATCTTACAATATTTATAAAGTGTCCATGAATACATGCCAAGCACTGTTCTAGGAGCAGGTGATACAGGAGTAAGCAGAATACACAAAGTCACTGCCTTTCTATAAAGTTTACATTCTAATAAAGGGGCAGTTAAAATAATAATCAAGCAGTACATAATACAGTATATGTTAGTAAGAGCTGCAGAGAAAAAGTAAAACAAACAAAAAAAAAACTACATAGGAAAAAGTAAAGCTACATAGGAAACTCTGAGTTACCTGAAATTCTATGAATTTTTTGAGTCATTTGAGGGTTTGGGCAGAGAAATCTCATGATCTAACTTAAGTTCAATCACTCCCTGTGGCTGCTGTATAAAGAAGCCATTAGAGTAAGGCAAAGGTGAAAACAGACACAGTACATAAGATGTTCTGCAAAAATCCAAAGAAAACAGTGGATGGCATTGAATGACATGCAGTTTAGGTGCTGAGGACTGGACTATATATACTTATACACACATAAACATACACACAAACATATTTATACTAAAGATAACAACATAATTGTTAATCGACTAAATGTGGGTATGAGAGTAAGGAAAAAAAGTCAACGATAACAAGGTTTTTTGGCCTGATCAACTGAAGAACAAGGTTCACATTTAAATAAATGAGGAAACTACAAGAGAATCTATTGGGGGAGAGGGGTGGAGATGGAATGGGTAGGAATCAAGAGTTAGGTCTGGGTCAGTTTAAGTGTATATATCTGGTTCGGCATTCGGCTTTAAAGGGGAAAGAACTTTGTTTTCAATCTTTCATACAATTTTATTTTCTCCCGTCAATCATGAAATGCCCAAATTTTGTCTTAGCCAGAGGGTCTGTAAACATGAGTTTATCCAGCCCAATTACAGGAAAGGCAAATGCTGCTTCTGGAAGTGGTCCCACCACTCTGGTCATCCAACCTAATCACCTAGCCTGGCTTTACCTTTAATATATTGTGTGGGTACTTTATTGGAACACATTCCAAACTTTTCTATTGCTTCCATGATTTTTCCATGTTTTTTTGCAAATAATGAGTCTGCAGCCTCCCTGGTGGCGCAAGGGGTTAAGACGCAACCTATGAAGCTATCCGCAGCCACTGCAGCACGCATTCGATCCCCTACCAGGGAGCTACCCACATGGCACAGACCTCTCCTGACTTGCCTGCTGTTCCCCACAGTAGTGTATTTCACTCAATCTGCCTGCTCTGTTCCCCACTCTGTCTCTGGTGAATCCTCTCATCCCCCACACCTCTGGCCTGTACCCCAGTTCTTGTATGCATAAATAAATAAACTTAAAAAACAATGTGTCTGACCTTTACAGCATTACCACTTCCTTTGGGACCCTGAATTTTCTTATCACAACTGGGGAGAGAGATAAAATCTTGATATTATACGATCTGAGAGAGAAGCAGCCTGAGGACTGAATACTGGGGCATAATCACCTTAAAGAAATGTGGGGAGAAGTGGAGGAAGCTGCAGGAGAAGCTGAGGAGGAGCTGGTAAAATTAGCAGAGAACAAGAGGGAGAAGTACACTTAAAAAACAAAAGAGGGCCACCCTAGTGGCGCAGGCAGTTGAGCGCAGCACTATAAAGCTGTCCACAGCCTCTATAGCGCGGGTTCAATACTGGCTGGCCAGGGAGAGATCTATATGGCTCAGCAGAACTCTCCTATCTCGCCCACTGATCCCCTCAGCAGTGTATTTCGGTCAGTCTGACTGTTCTGTTCCCCGCTCTGTCTCTGGTAGATCCTCTCACCTTCCCGCACATCTGGCCTATACCCTGGTTCTTGTATGCGTGAATAATCTTTAAAAAAAAAAAAAAAAAAAAAAAAAAGCTGGCAGCTTACATAAAATGAGGCCTAAAATTGGCCACTGAATAAAGCAATGTGGAGATCGCAGATGACCTTGACAAGTGGTCAAGAGTGGAATGTCTCATTAAAACAGCTTCAAAAATTAGAGAGGTATAGACAATGATTTCTAGAAGTTTTGTTGTAAACAAAGGAAGAAATGGTAAGGTACTCAGAAGAGAATGTAGAGTTGAGAGATCATTTTGTTATGTTCTTAAGATGGGAAAAATACCAGCATGTCAGTATACCACGATAATGACCTATTGAGAAGGACGATCTACTTACGATGCAAGTGGGAAACGGAACAACTACTACAGCAAGGCCCTAGACCATGCTCGAGGATAAAATCCAATGCCCCAATGAAGAGGCTGGTCGTAGGTAGGTCCACAGATCATTCATTCATGCGAACAAGGGAATTTCATGGGGACCAGATACAGAAAGAATAGTTTTGTTGAAGGGAATACATGAAAGCGCTTATAATTGTTTCCATTTTTCTCAGTGACACACAAAATGAGGAACGAAAAGGAGGTGTCGTGTAGGAGGCTAAAATGATTAGCACTGCCAGATGCATAAATTCACAGATTATTTTAGTGCCAAATTGAGGGCTCTTGAGATAATTGTCAATTCCAGATATCACTTAGCTGCAATTTAAATTATAATACCTTTCTGTAATTAGCTTCCCCCCACCCCAGCTGGAGTTGTTACTCAACGTAAATCCCATAGAAATAAAAATTAAACAAAAACAATTTACCAATGCAAAAAAAAAAAATACATGTATATATAACCTTTAATTTTTTGTTTGGTTTTGACCAATTATTCATCATTCCAGTATAATAAGGTACTAATTAAGACTATAAAAGTAGGTAAAACATGCAAATTATTCTTTAAAAGCTTCCATCTCCAAATATTTCAAGCAGATAAAAATTTACTGAAACATTAAAATATTTACTCTGATGTTTTATTTTAAAATGATATACTCAACCTTTGCATGGTTTAAATGACAGTGTTACATTTTAGTAATCACATGGCATGTTTCTTACCTGTGTATCTGAAGATAAAGCTGATGCAATATACAGCAAGAATCGGCAAGAAAGGGAAGAAACTCCTAAAATAAAACAACAATTTATTCTTTCTATATAATGCCTTTCTAATTCATATTTTCTCACATAAGCATGCAAAATAAACCAAAATCCAAAAAGAATTAGTGCTGAATGAATTTTAAAAACTTTTCCTGCATGAGAATAAAAAGGATGAGGCAAAGCACGTGAAATTCTTTACTAATGAAATAATCACCAAAACCATAATTAGTAGCTGTCATTACCTACTAAGTGCTCAGTAAATGTGTGGCAAGTAACTTTATGTATACTACTTAATTTCAGTCCTCTCAAAAATCTTATGAAATATTATTAGCCCCACTTCACAGAAAACTAAAACTATTAAATAATTTAAGTCAGAGAGTTAAAAATCAGGGAAAAAAGCAGTTGTAAATGCCCCAACCATTATGGTTAGGCTATCTCTTAGAAAGTAGAAGAAAATTCTTATTGTATTATAGGATGTAGCAAGCAGACATGATTTTTTTTTTTTTAATTTCTCTGAGTGAAAAGGGTTAAAAATGGCCATCAACAAGAGCAACTTTGCTTTCTATACACCAAGCAACTACCAGATGGTTAATTACATATCAAATGCCAATGGTGACAAGATTCTCCCATTAACTGCCTCTATCAGTGAAACACATACCCTAAAAGCTCAGGGAATCCAATGTTAGAGCACCCACCTAGGTAAGTGGCAGTGCCCGGAAGGACCAATTTGAGCAATATACCAAATAGGACGGCAATGTGTCAGTGAGCATGCTATGGATTTCTGACTAAGGTCATTGGAGATCTTTATCATTTGCTCAAAAAAAGAGGAAAACAAGGTCAAAGACAAATTCAACACAGACAATAATAACAGTATTTTTTAAAATTACTAATATCGGGCCTCCCCTGGTGGCACAGCGGTTGAGCGCTAGGCTGCGAAGCTGCCTGCAGGCTCTGCAGTGCCGGTTCGATCCCCAGCCGCCTGCTAGGGTCCCATATGGCACAACAGACCTCTCCTGCTGTGCCTGCTGCTCCCCTCAGCAGTGTATTTCGTCACTCTGCCTGTTCTGTTCCCCGCTCTGGCTCTGGTGAATTCTCTCACCCTCCCGTGCTTCTGACTGTACCCAGTGCTTGTATAAATAAATAAATCTTTAAAAAAAATTACTAATATCTATTACAAAATACATGTGGGGTCAGTCTCCCCTAAAGGGTCAGTAAAGGCTTTTCCCTGTAGGCCCAGAGTAGGTCTCCAAAATCACTGTGTTATGGGACCTGGAGGTCAATCAAGACACAGTGAGCTTTCAGAGGTTTATTACCATTACTTAAAGGATACAGATTGTTGCCGGGGAAGCAAGGGCCCTGAAGACAAAAGAAGCTTTTGTTCTAGCCCAAATCCTTTTCCCCTCCCTAATCTAAAAGGAGATCATCAGGTCCTAAACTCCCGGCCCTTTTCTCAACTAAAGAAGCAATCACTGTTCTCCCTCTTGTGACCTAGAATGTAGTTCAGGGTCTCATCCAGTTCAAGATTTATCAGATCACTTTGTCTTTATCAAGAATCTCATCTCTAACATCAAGCAGGAGGTAAGCCCCCTTTTGTCACGCGCTTTTTTTTTTTTCCAATTATCTGGGTCCCAAAACACAGGATAAATATTCCTGGTCTGCTTCGTTATCCTTTAGAATTTACAACCATGTGAATTCTCCATACATATGTTATTAAATTCATTGTTTTTCCTTCGATAACCTATCTGATGTATAAAATTCAATGCATCAATAAGAAGGCTAGCTGTGGATAGGCCCACAGGTAGTTCATTCATGGGAAGAAGGGAGTTCATGGGACCAGATACAGGGGAATAGTTGATATGATGGAGGCAGTATATGGAAGCTCTCTTAATTACTTCCATTTTTCTCAGTGACATACAAAGTGAGGCCATTCATTGATAATGAATGCTATTTTGATTACTTATCTAGTCTAAAAAGAACCTAGAAGAACTAGTGTAGTCTAAAAATTTCTTTTGGGCCCCAATGGCTTTTACTTTCACTGGCTGCTGTCAGCATTCTCTGACATTGTCCAAATAATCTGCCTTCATAATATATCTATTTTATTCATATATATCTTCAACTACAGTGTTATCCTTAGAATCCAATTATACATGTTTTCTTAGGATTTATTAGTGTTAAAGGTAAGCACATTTGAACAATTTAATTTAGAAACATGGTAAAAATAATTTATAAATGCTTAGAAGCAAATTAAACTATGATCTGAAAACTGATTCACGCTTATATAATTTTACTTATATTTATGCTTATAAAACCATTTCTTTCAGAGAACTGAATAAAAATTGTTAGAAAAGAGATGAGGCCAGTCCCAGATTTTGGCACCAGAAAAACCAGTAACAACGATAGCAGCAACTTAAGTGACATAACAGATACTCAATATTCAATTAACAACATTAAATCATTAAAAAGCCTACAAAAATATATTCTTGAAAAACTTCAGAAGATTGTTTTTGGTGGGATGATTTTAAAAAAGAAATCATACTGTAGATCAGCTTTAGGAATTATAAAAAATTAGCCTTACCTTGGTATAATGCAAAAGGGAGTTAACAAAGAAACGGCATAATTTGAGTGTTTTCTGAAATAATCTGTAGTCAGCATTATCCTGTCAGGAGTGGGGGAAAAAAATAACCACATTAAATAGAATATGACATTAGATAAACTTTCATAGGAGGCAATATTTTCTAAAAGTCTTTTAGTAGGCAGAGTAAATATTTTTCAAGAAAAGAATTCTTTTCTGAATTGTTAGGAGCAACACACATATCAAATAACAGCTATTTAAAAAAATTTAACTCTAAGTTACTGAAATCTTAATATAACAGCAAAAAAGGGGATCACTCTTGGTTGATTCGAAAGTGAAAGACAAATACCTTACTGTTCTGTTACATGAGATTAGTCAACAGATTATCAAAAGAAAAAGGTCTTTAAGCCAATAAAAATGATACATTGGAAAAACTCCAATTTATAACTTAATTACATATCTTGGGGTGGGAGGTGGCAGCAGAGAAAAGGGTTATTGGATCAACAATGATTAAAAAGATTGATAATATCCCAGTTGATAGAAAGTGGGGTAGTAAGCACTTTCCCCAGTTGAGGAAGCCTAATACATTTTTTGCATTATGATTAAAATCTGAAGTATTAAATCTCACACGGTCAGTTCCACCTCTGAAATAGATCCTACAGAAATCTAGCACAGGTAGGCAATGCAACATTTTTTATATAGTGAAAATCGAAATGAGCCCAGTACCCATCAACTAGAGAATGGTACATAAATTCAAGGTATATCCATAAACTATCATAGCAAAGAATCTTCATGTACACAAAAAGTCCTAAGTAAGATAAAATTAAAAAAAAAAAATCAAGCTGCAAAACAATATGTATAACATAATCCAGTATTTTAAAATGTGCATGTGTTGGCTCCCCAAGCCTCCCAAAATTAATCAAAACCTTACTTACCTGTGGTTCTCTCTAGCACGTAAAACAGGATTTCACTCTCCACAATAGTTACTTTTATAATGTGTGAGTTTGCTGAGTATGTATTACATTTGTAATTTGACATAACAGTGAAAATGCCAAAATAGCTATGTGTATACAAGAGAGGTGGAGAACTAGGCATCATCCTGCCTGGACTTCAGTCCTGGCACAACTATATGTTGTTAGGAATGTATTAACCTCTCTATGAGGTTGCAATGTAGTTTACTTATACTAAGGTTGTTGTGAGATTTAAAAAATACCTGACACTAGGTTGCTATGTCACCCAAATGTAGAAAGCACACTACAATCCAAAGAGTTTCATATTGGTACCATAAAATTAAGTCAAACATAATATTGTCTTAAAATTGAGAATAATCTTGAATGTCTTTTATTATTATTGACATGTAGTTGACATAACATTACTTTCAAGTAAACATCATAGCTTAACTTTAATGTTACGTTCAATATTTTTCCAAAAATATAGCACAACCTTTATTTATTAAACCAATAAAATGGAACTAGATGATGCACTGCTTGAATGTAACAATTTTGACCTTTAATAAAAGCATTTTATTCAATTTTCCTCAGCAAAAACAGGGTAGATGAAAATGTACCTTTCTTTGATAATTCAGAACATGAAATCGCTTATCTAGTTATATAGAAGTTTAAAAGTATAGATACTAAAGATGACTTTTTAATACTAAGAAATTTTCTTAATTTATTTAGATGTAAGAAATCTCTCCCGACTTTGTGATTGGATTCATACCTTTATTGCCATAAGCCAACCCCAGTTTTTCGAAGACCACACTACTCTATAATTACTAGCTTATTTGCCTCCTAAGCTGCACTGTAAGTTACTGAGGGGAATTAGTACATTTTCTGGCATCAATAAGCACTCTAGAAATACTTATGAAAATGAATGAATAAATCACGACACATAAATCTGTCATGTTTGCCTACTATAAGTATTTCTTTTTTCATTCAAGGGAAACTGGATAAGATTTGATTAAAGGGGTCTCCCCGGTGGCGCAGCGGTTGAGTGCTGGGTTGCGAAGCTGCCTGCAGCCTCTGCAGCCGGTTCAATCCCCGGCTGCTCCCCAGCCACCGGAGGAGGGTCCCACATGGCGCGCAGACCTCTCCTGCCGCCCGCTGCTCCCCTCAGCAGTGTCCTTCGGTCCTTCTGCCTGCTCTGCTCCCTGCTCTGGCTCTGGTGAATTCTCTCACCCTCCCGCGCTTCTGACTGTACCCAGTGCATGTATAAACCAAACAAACAAACAAATAATAAATAAATAAATAAGACATGCCTCTAGAAAATTAAAAAAAAAAAAAAAAGATTTGATTAAAGGCTCTAGTTTTACTTCATTACTAAACTAATTAAATTGAGAACATTCAACATTTTCAAAAAGCAAACATAACACAAATACTGTCTTATCTTTGAATTAGTCAACTGTTTAAAACAGAAAGTTTGTATTCCAATGCCAACAAAAGGGTGAGAAAATTAGCAAGGAAAACCATTTTTCAATATATCAAAAAGTTAAGTATCCATTCTTCCTTTACATAAAACAAGAAAAATACTGGGGTAGGGGGAGACCCTAAATCCTAAACACAGCAGGCAATAAAATATAAATAGGAAATAGATGTAAAAGCAGATGTTTATTTCCTACATATAAATTGCTGTAAGCTTTAAGCAGAAACAGGAAGTACAGTAGAAATTAAATACCTATATCAAAGAACCTTACTAATAAATTTTCTTAACAGAAAAGCTAAATCATTGGTCGCTAAAGAACAATATGTTAAAAGTTTAATACAATAATCATTCTGAAAGCTTGTTCAAAACATAGTAGAGAATATCTTACCAACTTTAGAGGCTGTTATGGGTTGAACTGTGTCCACCCTCCTCCCCCAAGGAGATATTAAAGTTCCTACCCCCAATATTGTCAAAACATGAATTGATTTGGAAATAAGGTCATCACAGTCGTAATTTGTTACAATGAGATCATAATGGATTAGGATATGCTCTTAATCTGACTAGTATCCTCATAGGATGATGTAAAGACAGAGAGAGAACACCATGTGATGACAGAAGCAAAGACTGGAGTCACACAGATGCAAGCCAAGGAATGCTAGGCAGCATAGAGGCTGACTCTCTCCTACAGCCTTTAGAGAATAAGGGCCTGCTGAAACATTGCAGGCTTCTGTTCTCCAAAACTGAAAAAGAGTAAATTTCTGTTGTTTTAAGCCACCTAATTTGTGGTACTTTGATATGGCAACCCCAGGAAACCAGTACATGAATCAATAGGTCCATATACTCCCATAAGTAGCATATCACTAATTAAACCTACTGTTTGTATTTATAAGTTTTTGAAAACCACGTAATAAACTGCTTGGAAACAACACAATTAAATAGTTGGACTACTCAATAACCTGAATACTGAACAGCAGAGGGTGCTGCTGATCACATATAGAGAAACTGCACTGATTATCTCAAAGCCCGGATTCACGCAATAAAGGATGAGTGGTGCTGGTCACACTTATCAATCCCAAACTTTTAGAGATAAAGAAAAACATGAAAATTTGCTTGGACAGTTAGGAGAACTCAAAATGTAAACTCTGTTCATACACAAGCAGTTAGAAGCTGAGTTTACATACTTTATGTACAAACAGCCACCCTGATCAGGCACCCTCAGGACTTTTCTTTTTCCTCTTCCATATAGACTGTACTGCTGCTGGGACTTTCCATCTCACTGTGGCCCAAGAACCTCTGTCTAACCTTACCCTTCAAGCACTACCTGAGGAGTCTGTGCTGTCAAGATAAACAAGAAGGGAATTAGGGGAGACGGGTGGGATTGAAGAAAACTGACATATAGGGTGAAAGTGGAGAGAGGAACACTTTTCTGTTGTTGACACAAGCCACCAGCCAAATGCATCCTTTCAGCAAGACGGGAACCAGAAAGCATACATGGAGTAGAGATGAGAAAGAAAAGGTAAAGAATGCATGTAAGAGGAAGGCAGACAAGAGAAAAGCAGGAGGAAAAGGTGACTCCCTTCCAACAATCACTCCTCACTTCCTTCTTACTACCTTCAGAACTCCTTGCACATGATTTATATCCTCTAGCGTCTGTCAGGCCAGGGGCGCGGGAGGGTGAGAGAATTCACCAGAGACAGAGCAGGGAGCAGACCAGGAAGAAGGACCAAAATACACTGCTGAGGGGGGCAGCGGAAGGCAGGAGAGGTCTGCTGCGCCATGTGGGAATCTCCCTTGCCGGCCAGGAATCGAACTGGTGTTGCATAGGCTGTGGACAGCGTCACAGCACTGTGCTTAACCTGCTGCGCCACTGGGGAGGCCCAATACTCTAACTTTTAAAGGTAAATATACATACAAAACAAATGTAAGTATATATCAATTTAGGTATACACACACACACACAGAGTTGTGCATGGCATCACTACATGTTGCAATGGACTGGTGAGGCAAAGACCAACTGTGGCTACCTCAAGAGGACTTTAAATAAATACAGGACTAAAGAATTACTTCTGTTCTAGAGTACAAAATGGAAGGTGTCTAAAAAGGTCGCTTGTACCAACCAGTTTGTATTTAACAAGTGGGGGACAAGGTAGACTCACGGGAATGAGATAGCACAGCAGTCTAATGCTATGTTCTGGTGGCAAGTAATCATGGACGTAAATAATCCCACAGATTAGAGGAAGAAAACGAAAAAAAACAAAACAAATGAAATACATTAATGCCCTCCTAGGTAACTGCCAAAAGAACTAAGAACTGTTTAAAATGCCATTAAACCGTATTTTTACCTGTACATCTGACAGTGTCATCTGCTCAGCTAACTGCAAACAAGAATGGAAGGAGAAAAGAATGTCTTGACACAAGCTAGTAATTATATCTTTGTGTTTCAGCTGATTCTTTATAACCGACTGGTGTTTAAGGCTCTGTCTAAAAGAATAAAAAGAATACAATCACCATAGGTAACACATCAAGTAACTTAGAACCATAAAAATATGACTTGAAGGAATATGTGAAAAAAAAAACCCACAATGCTTCTTGTTAGATGTGCCTTTTTATTTCTGAAGCAGTAAAGTTAAAGTCGCTAATTTTTTATTTCCCCTGTAAATATATTAATTGAACTCTTACTATGACAGGCACTCTGCTAGGCCCTGGGATGGAGAGGTGAATGAAAAGACACAATCTCTGCCCCTTCTGATGGAACTTGTAGTTAATGTGATAAACGCTAAGATGAAAAAGTTCAGAGTGCTGTAGCAGATCTAATTTAACTTATTCTTAGGGTAAGGATATCAAAAAAAAAATGCTACCAGGAGATGTAACTCTTCAGGTGAGAACTGAAAGAGAAGTAGGAACTAAAAAGGTGTGAAGCACACGAAAGGAACATCCTATGCAGAGGGGAAAAGTGAAAAGGCTCTGGGACAAGAGTTTGATATATTTGCGGAACTACATGGGGGGAAGGAGGGTACAGGAGAGGTGGGCTGGTGAAGAAGGCAGGGGCCAGAGAGGATCAGGTTGTTAGCTTTACACTATGGGCACTAGGACACAACTGGGTAGATTTTAAGCAGCACAATATCATCTGATTAACATTTTTAAAAATATCGGTCAATGCTCGGTAGAAAATAAACTGGGACAAGAGTAGAAGTCCAATGATGGTGCTATGGGTAACTCCGTGAGCACTCGCTATATGCCATGCAGAGTTCTCAGCATTTGATAAACTCAGTTCATTCTTACTAGGAAGATTCTTATATTTCTTTTAGTTTTTAGATGAGAAAGCCTAGTTTCAGAAAAGTTAACCACATGGCTCAAGGGTTCAGGAGGCATACTGATCTTAGAACGGATTCAATCATATGCAGTGTGGCTGGGTGGATATTTAACCACTACACTATCACTTGCTGGCAACTTAATAATCTGGTGGTAAAAAGAAAAAGCACCTAAGACTTGAATGCATGTGTATAAGAGAGCCTTAATCATTTTTGTATCTCAATGTCTTCCCACCCTTAAGAATCTGATGAATATTATAGGCACTCTCCCTAATAACCTTTCATAACACTCCACATAAAATTAGTTTATAAGTGGAATTAAACAAACAACTCAAAAGCACATAATGAAGGGATTAGCATCAGCTTTAGTTATATTTACTGATTTATGTAACTGTGGAAATAAGCTACTTCATCAGTTAAGCAATAATAGCAGCAAGTGAGTGTTTAAGGTTTAGTATAGCCCATAGACATTGTTTCAGTGATACTAGCTAACTAGGTAGAACTGGTTATTTTATTTTAGAGGCAGCAGGATAGAAAAGTCCAATTTGGTTTGGGAGTTACATGCAGAATATTTGGATCATTAGACAGTAGTGTCAGTAAACATATAAACTTGTACAAAATGTTTTAAACACAAGTTAAGAAAAGTTATGAGTAAGAATTTGGATATAGAAAATATTACAAAAATGAAAACTTACTTAATTATAAATTTCCAAGTATTGGCATGAAATGCATGGTCCATACTAGAAATAACAGAGCAGATATCCAATAATGAATGAATAACTACAAAAAAGAGAATAAAACTCTTAGGATATTTAAATATTATGAACTTCTCTTATATCTAAAAGTATGAAATAATTTTGCAATTATTAATGCAGTTTAACAAAAAAACTACCGGGCCTCCCTGGTGGCACAAGGAGGTAAGACACAGTACTATGTAGCTATCCGCAGCCTCTGCAGCAGGAGTTCAATCCCTGGCCAGGGAAGTGACCCACATGGCACAGCGAACCTCTCCTATCTCGCCCACTGCTCCCTTCAGAGTGTATTTCAGTACATCTGCCTGTTCTGCTCCCCACTGTGTCTCTGGTGAATCCTCTCACCCCCCACATTTCTGGCCAGCACCCCAGCTCTTAAACGCATAAATAAATCTTTAAAATAAATACATTAATAAAAATTACCAAAATAATTATTGAATGTAAGTGTCACACTTCTAAAGATTTTTATAAATTACTGAAAATTAACTTCTGAAGTACACACCTACCTTATAACCGAAATAAAACTAAAAATGGAGGGTCTCCCTAATGGGCTAAAGGTTAAGCCTTAGTGCTACCACTGTTACAGCCTGAGCTCCATCCCCGGCCAGGAAGCTAACCCACATGATGCAGCAGACCTCTCCTGCCTGTTCTGCTCCCTACTCTGTCTCTAGTGAATCTTCTCAACCCCCCACATCTCTGGCCTGCACCCCAGTTCTTCTATGCATAAATAACTAATTAATCTTACAAAAAAACTAAAAAAGGGAATAAAAGTTGTGCCCTATTATAACAGAAATATTCTATAGGCACAATTCCAATCAAAACAACAAAATAAACTGCTAAGGAAAGAAAACCTAACAAAAAATTAAAACTAATCTGCACAATACACATGCAAGGCTTCTACTCTGCCTACAGTTAAAATTATTTGCAAAAATGGCCACAGTAACTCCCCTCTGTGTCCAAACTCTTGGGCAATTCCCTTCCACACTGACTCTGGGAGTAGTTACAAGCAGAGACTTCAAAAGTACAGATGAATTGGGGCTTACCCTCTCTCACCAATTAGAAACGCAGCACCCGGCCCACCCTGGTGGAGCAAGGGGTTGAGATAAAACCTATAAAGCTATCCACAGTCACTGCAACATGACTTTGATCCCTGGCCAGGGAGCTATCCACATGGCACAGCAGACCTCTCCTGACTCACCCGCTGCTCCCCTCAGCAGTGTATTTCACTCAATCAGCTTGTTCTGTTCCCCACTCTGTCTCTGGTGAATCCTCTCACCCCTACACTTCTGGCCTGTACCCCAGTTCTTGTATGCATGAATAAGTCTTTAAAAAAAAAAAAAAAAAGAAAAGAGAAAAAAAGAAACGCCCAGCCCCCCATCAGGTGACTGAGCTTTGGGATAGCCTGTTGGGTAATGTGCTACACATGTAAGTCTCAGTATTTCTGCCTCTGCCAACAGCCAGATTTCAGTGAGGTCAGACTGTAATTCATGCATGAGCCAGATGCACCAATGTGAAGCACAGAAAGCTATCCCAGTTGAGCCCAATCTAAACTGCTGACTCCCAGAATCAAGAATAAAATAGATGTTTTAATCCAACAGATTGGGATAATTAGAACAAAAGGTACCTTCCTCTCAATATACTGACGTTGTGAATACAATCTTTGCCCTTACGTATTAGAGCTTTTCAAACTGAGTCAATCCACGGAATGACGGTATTAGTAAAGAGGATTACAAGCAATTCTTTAAAAATTAGACATAGTTACAGTCAATACACATCATAACTAAGCAGTACATTTTCTTCACTCACCTATTACCATCTTTAAAATATCTTCCTTTTCATCTACTAAAGGGTTTAAGCAAACCATGTCCAGCAATTCCATTAACTGCTTTTGAAGAGAATAGGCCTCCTTGAAAAGAGCCTGAAGGAGGTCTGCAACTAGGTGTAAACGCCCAGAATACACAGATTCACTATTCTGATGACAAATGAAAAATGAGAGGAAAAAAACAAATTCATAAAAAGCTCGAGTCAAATTTACTTCATCGTTGAGATTATAAATTTAATGTTTTTGGCTGAATTATGTATTATTAAACAAACGTTTAATGAACATCCAATATAGTTTAATTCTAGAAAGGTAAGCATATATAAAATATGATTCCTAACTTCCCATAACTAGCAAATACATAAAACTAAAACAACCAAAAAAGAAATAAATAACATTAGGTCAGGTGCATGGCATTTTAGTACCCTATCACCAAAGAGAAGCATTAATTAACGAGTGATTTTTACATACTCAAAATAGCATTAAAACTGCTAGTGTTCTGTAGTGATACAAAATCCTAGGCTATCTGCTGTGCTTTTAATACTGCCTCAAGAATGCAAAGATGGTCTAAATAAGGGTTGGTGTGCCTTTATAAACAGCTAACCATTAAGCAAGCCATGAGATCCACAAATGCCATGACAGAACTATTTTAGGATTCCTGTAACTTGACACAATCTATTATCACTTCTTTATTTGATAAAGAGGAAACAAATAAAACAAAACACAATTTTTATGGCTATCTTATAAACCATTTATTTTGAAACAAATATTTACAGTATTTCCTCTTGGATCTATGGAAAAGTCTATTCCAATAATGTAGGCTAAAATGTAAAATCCTATGTAAAAACATTACTTTACTCAGCCCCTTTGTCCATTGATTCTAAGCCATTTCAACTATACTCAGATTCATCACTCACCTTACAATGTACAAATGTACTTTTGATTACGTGTAGGACTGAGGAGGGGAGACTATGGATATTTTCTAGAACAACAGATTGCTGTGTGGCACAAACATGCTGAACACATCCTGTAAGAGCTCCTAAAACCTGTACCATGGTCTGGAAATAAGAAAGATGTTTCATCAGACAGATTGCTGGTTTCCAGAAATACAGCAGTGCACAAAATAGACTCACTTTCCTCCTTTCCTAGAAATTCAATCTATCAGAACTACAAATTTCGAAACAGACTAGCCTTTGGTTTTGTTTTTTTTTAAAGTGAAACTCTAGCCCACATATCAATGCATATGGCAGATGTTCTACTCATATCATCTGAAATTATAGGTAGAGCAGGCTATCTTGATTACCTGTCTTCTTTTAAGAGTGCAGATGTTTGTTTACTCAGCAAGAAACTGTATAAAAATTCAGAGTTTATGTTCTGTATTCACATCTTTAATTGTATATATTTAATTTCAGCATGTGGCCATTACATAAAGAATACATGACTAAGTAATATCACTATAAAAATGCTCACGCTCTTTTAGCTCCTCCCCACTCCCCCAATCTCTCCTTTTTGACTTACTTGTAAAATATTCCTTAGAGTGGTTTGAATTTCTAAATTTTGGCTTGATAGTCCTTTGGCTTGACTAGTTAACTCGTCCATCATGTCATCAAATAATTTCACAGTCTGTGAAAACAAAGCAGATCATAACTGGGTATAAAAATCACTAGAAAAGGAAAGATATCGCCAAGGAAAAAAATTCCAATGATTTAATTTTGCATTACTAACACCTATGAGATATCATCTAGCTTAACAATTACACCTAATTAAAAATATATACACACACATATCTAGTACTTGTATAAATTAACCACTTTTTACAATCAGTGAAGTCAATTATTTTCCATTCTATGGTTTGAATCTATTTAATAACATCTTATAAACAAATCAAAGTTCATTTCTTCATGTTACAAATGTATGTGCTAGTCTTTACACAGTATAAGATGATGATCTTAGCCAATATATATTCAATGGGCCATTACAGGGGTATTTTCTGATTAGGTAATTCAGTACAAATTCATTTCCACTTATATTCTAACCAGTGTCCATTTTGAACAACTCAAAATACTGTTTCTGAGTTACAGGTATATTATGTAACCTCAGAACTAAGTTTTTGACTAAAAAGTTAGTCATCCTAAGATCTTAATACTTGGTTCTTTCTAAACATCTCAAGAATAGTAACACTATTTCACAAAGTAGTTAAAGAAGTTATTGCTTCCCATAGGCCCTTTAACACTCAACATCTCTGTCTTCATCTGTATCATAGCTGGACGTTCTTTCTGGTATTCAAGAACAAATTCTAAGAAACTTTCAGAGAGAAAACAATCAAGTAAATATGAGCAAAAGGACTTCCGATGATTACCTGTATCAAAGATAAACTTGGAAATCTATCATCAGAGAGATAAGTTATCATAACTACATGTTTCATTTTGGCATCAAAGTCCTTTTTGCTCCCTCAATTATAAGAGAAAAAAGGATGGAACTTCTCAGAGAAAAAGCATATCACACATCTAAACAGTAGTCTGAATTTAATGTTTCTTAGTTACTTAATAGCAACAAATTTTCATCTTTTTAATTCTAAGATTTTTTTTAAATAAATGTTGGTTCCATTTTTTTCAGACAATGAAGTTTAACAACTCTGACATTATTAACAAGTATTAATGCTCTTCTGCAGAGAAAATACAAGTTAACTTTGTAATGCATCACAAATTTTTGATTACTAGCTTTAAGTTATAAGTATTTCACATTAACTAAAAGTAAATTAAATCCAGTTAGTAAATGATCCATACCATCTGAAAATAGCTTTTAATCAAATAATGATTACATTAATACCACTGTATTCTCACTGTATTCTCACATAAGACCTATTTTTCACTACTTTATTTATATTTCAAATGTTTGCTACACTGAGGAAAAGCTCTTTTTTAAAAAAATTAAGAATAATCAACCTAAAACTGAGGTATGATTTTAACAGCCTTTAAAACATGTAGATGGATTAAGACAGTAATAGTACCATACCTTTGGCAGCACTTGTGAAAAGAAAGTCGGTTCCAATGTCAGTTGATTCATATGAGGTAAAAACATTTCTACAATAATTTTCAGAATTTCTATAAAGCAAGATAGTAACATGTTATAGAAATATAAAGTCATGTCAGTAAACAAAATTCAATGCTCTTTCCAAATGTGAGAAAATCTAAGTACTACCCATCTAAACCTCAGCACACTTGCAGAATACTATAATCTATGTAGAGACAATATTAATCTGCTATTATCTGAAATAGCAAAGAATAAAAAAAGGAAAAACCTACATGTCCAGTAAGGACCAGCAAATGAATGTAGGTATTATTTATTAGTAGGATTTGTTATCATTAAAATGATTCCTTAAAACCATGAGAATATTTCAGAATATTTTAAACTGAAACACAAGGAAACACAAGATTGTATTAGGATATGTATGACTAGGACCATGACAACATCTAATAACACAATGAAGATAATTTTACTTACGAATATGCTCAATCCAATTATCAGAATGTTGATTCATAGAGTAAAATAATCAAGGAAAACATCAGTATCATTGTTTTAGGAAATTCACATAGCTAAATTTAGAATAAATTTAAAACCGACCCTTTTTGAAATTTATTCAATAATTCATAAATACTGAAATCAGACTCAAATAACTGGCTAAACTCTGCTCTTAAAATTTAATGTTTCAAAAGTTAATGAAACAACAGAAATGGAAGCAAAGCACAGCAGGAAGACCTCAAAAAATAAAAAAATACAGGATAAAACCAATACATAACAAAATGGCAATGAGCACTATGTCTCAATAACCTTAAACATAAACTGCCAGAATTCATCAGTTAAAAGGTACAGAGCAGCTGAATGCATTTCAAAACAAAGTTCAAAACTTTCTGCTATTAACATGGATGGAGCTGGAAGGGATGATGCTCAGTGAAATAAGTCAGAAGGAAAAAAAAAAATCAAATGGTTTCACTTATAGGAGGCATATAGAAGAACCAAACAAGGGATCAGGAAAATAACAAACAAACAAAATCAAACAAAACAAAACTAGCAGGCAAAAGATAAATCAGAGACATTCAGCAAGGAGGGGTTGGAGAGGATCAGAACAGGGGAGGGAAGAGCATAAGAGACTATGGATGACAGACAGTTCATGGATGACTTGGTGATGGGAATTCCATGGAGTTTACACCAGAAAGGAACAACAATGTAAAAAATACATATATGAAAACAAACAAACAAAAAACCTTCTGCTGTTTACAAGAATGCCTTCCAACCAACAAAGACAAGTACAGACTTCGGGTTAAAGGCTGGAAGACAGTTATACAAGTAAAAGGCAACCAAAAAAATCACAAGCAGTTTTACCTGGTAAAATAAGCTTCCAATTAAGAGATAGAAATGTATACCATATTATAATTAACGGTCCAATACAAAAAGAAATAACACACACATATATACACCAAACAATGAAGCACTGAGACACATCAGACTATGACAAAACTAAGAAACATATTCATAATAATATACAATACTAGGGGACTTTAATACTCTAACAACAAGGAGAACAAGACAAAGAATGAGGAAATAATATAAATGAAGTGCTAGAACAAACAGGTCTAACAGACATCTAATGAACACTCCTCTAAAAAAAGAATGCATACACATTTTTTTCAAGGATACAGTGGAACATTTTCAAGAAGAGATCACATGCTGGGACACAAGTCAATTTTCAATAAATGTACAAAGATCAAAATTAAACCTAGTATTTTCTCTCATAATGCCATAATATTAGAAATCAACTATGAGGAAAAAAGTATGAGCACATGGAGACTAAAAAATATACTGCTTAGCAGCTATTGGATAAAAGAGGAAATCAAAGCTGAAAATGAAAAGTACCTTGAGACAAATGAAAATGATACATACTACCATACCTATGGAATGCAACAAAGCATTCTTAAGGGGGAAGATAATCACAATGCAGGCCCACATTTAAGAAGAAAAGTCCCAGGCCTCCCCGGTGGTGCAGCGGTTGAGCGCTGGGTTGCGAAGCTGCCCGCAGCCTCTGCAGCGCCGGTTCAATCCCCGGCTGCTCCCCGGACACCAGAGGAGGGTCCCACATGGCGCACAGACCTCTCCTGCCGCCCGCTGCTCCCCTCAGCAGTGTACTTCCGTCCTTCTGCCTGCTCTGCTCCCGGCTCTGGTGAATTCTCTCACCCTCCTGCGCTTCTGACTGTACCCAGTGCTTGTATAAATAAATAAATATTTGGAAAAAAAAAAGAAGAAGAAGAAGAAGAAAAGTCCCAAATAAACAATATCATGCCCAAAGCAACTTGAAAGAGAAGAACAAGCAAGTCCCAAAGCTAGGGAAAGGAAATAATAAATGAAAGAAAATCAAAAAACTATGCCGAAAAAAATCAATGAAACCAAGAATTGGTCTTTGAGAAGATAGGCAAAACAGACAAACTTCTAGTTAGGTTAACAAAAAAGAGAGAACATTATAAACAGAATCATAACTGAAAGAGAAGAAATTACCACATTAGCACAGAAATACAAAGGCTCATTAAAGATACTATGAACAAACTATATACCAATAAATTGGGTGACCTTGAAGATCCATATAGTTGACAATATCTATCCCGGAAAGAAACAAGTTTTGAATGAACCAATCACAAGCATGAAAAATGAAGCAATAATAAAAATATTCTGAAAAACCAAAGATAGCTCAGAAAATTACAGACCAATAACCCTTATGAACATTGATGCAAAAATCTTCAACAAAATATTTAGCAAATCTAATTCAATGGTTTGTCACAAGGATTATACACCATGATAAAGTGGGATTTACCTCAGGGATACAGGGAGGTTTAATATATATATCAATCAATGTACTAGCACTAAAAGATAAAAATCATTGATAAATGCAAAGAAAGCATTTGATAAAATTTAGCACTCATTTATGATAGAAACTCTAAACACAATACGAACAGAACGAACCTATCTCAAAACAATGAAGTCCACATACCACAAACCAACGGTCTATATAACACTTGATGGTGAAAACTGAAAACTTACCTCTTAAGATCAGAACAGGATAAAAATGTCCATTGTTACCACTTCTGTTTCACTTACTATTAGAGAGTTTAGTCAGAGCTATCCACCACAGGAAATCAAGAGAATCCAAGGTGGAAAATAAGTGAAATTATCACTATTCACAGATAATGATACTACATATAGAATTATCTCAAGGCTCCATCAAAAAGTTATTAGAAACAGTACATGAACACAGCACTGGCAGGTTACAAAGTCAACATACAAAAATCCAAGGTCTTTTTATATGAGAACAATGAACAAGAAACAAAAAAAAAATTTTAAAGTAATGCCATTTATAATTTCTTTTGCTTCTTGCTTCAAAAAGAACTAAATACCTCAGAATTAACCTAACTAAGAAGGTAAAAGACCTATACAATGGGAACTGCAAGAAGTTATTTAAGGACTTAGTAACATAAGGATATAGCATGGTCATTAATGGAAAGAATCAATATTACCAAAATAACAATCCTACCTAAAATGATATGTAAATGTAACACAATCCTTTTCAAAATACCAGTAATATTTTTCAAAGAACTTGAACAAAAAATATTGAAACTTTTACGGAATCACAAAAGACCTCAAACTGCAAAAGCAACCCTAGTTAAAAAAGAAATAGAGGTATCCCATTACTTGACTTCAAATTTCACTATAAAGCAACAGTACTAAAAACACTATGATAATGGCACCAAAATAGATACATGGATCAACAGAATAGAAGCAAATGTCCCTATATAAATCCACATTCATACCAGAACCTGATCTATGACAAAGCAGCTATAACAATAAATATGGGGACAAGACAGTGTCTTTAATAAATAGTGCTGGGAAAATTAGAAAGCAATAGATAAAAGAATGAAGATGAATCACTCCCTAATCCCATACACAAAATTAAACCCCAAATGAATTAAAAATTTAGACAGAAGACCTGCAACAATAAAATACAATGAAGAAAGTATTGGTAATATGTTCCACGATATCAACAATGATATTTTTGGTGACTCAACCCCTATGGCAAGGGAACTAAAAACAAAAACAATAAGGACAACCTCAAGTTAAACTTCTATACAAAGAAAACATAAGATGATTAAAAAGACATACTACCGAATGGGAAAAATATTTACACAATACATAATAAGGATTAATATCCAAAGTATATAAAAGTGCATACAACTTGAAAAACCCCAATTCATAAATGGACAGCAGGTATCAACAGATAGTTCACCAAAGAGGCTATCCAGAAAGCCTATGCACATGAAAAAATGTTCAATGTCACTTCCAATAAGAGATGCAGGTTAAAAGCACAATGAGAAAACATCTCATGCCTGTGAGAATGGAGTATATTAACAAGATCTCGAATAAGTGTTGAAGAGAATGTGGAAAAAGAAGAACCATATTATACTGTCAGTGGAAATGTAAACTGGAGCAACTACTATGGAAAGAAATCTGAATTTACCTTAAACTAAAAACGGAAATACCATAGCACCCAGCCATCCCACTCTTAGGCATACATTTAAGGAATATAGAACCATCAATACCAAAGGTCCATATGCTCCACAGTGTCCAAAGTAGCATTATTTACAATAACTAGGACATGGAAGTAGCCTAAATGTCCATCAATGGACAGATCAAGCAACACCATGCAGTACTACACAGCCATTAAGAATGAATGAAATGCAGTCATTTTCAACAAAATGGAGGGAGTTTGAGAGAACTGAGTGTAGTAAAGCAAGTAATAAAAACAAATACTGAAAAATCACATAGCAGATAATTTGATAATGTAAAACATTAAAAAAAAACCAGTAGACAGCAATAAACATCATTAAGACTCTTAGGTTAAGGGGGCGGGGAAGAGGACAAAAGGACGAAAGGGATGGTGGTGGGAAATAAATAAAACCATAAAAAAATTAATGTTTCCATTAGGCAAGCAAATAATATTTGAAAATGCTATGAGGAATTATTTTTGGCAGATGAGAAAAAGCACTAAGTCAATCCATGAATTTCTGATTTCTAATACAAGAAAAACTTCCTCTTTTGCATTTCTCTAGTACTTAGAGCTTATCTAAAGTCATTCACCACTTTCTAACTTCTTTTCATGTTATTTACATACCTTCTCCACCAATTTTATTCAACTTAACCTCTTCTGCACTGCAGCTTACAAATATGTGACAATAATTCTATGTTCATTACCAAAATTAACAGTAATCACTTTATAAATTTTATACTTGTATACCACCAAGAATAATTGTTGGAAATGTTTTTACTGTAAAAATCATACAAAATCAATTAAAGAATGTGTCAGTAAGAAAAAATGAATAACCCATAACTCCATTACACTAACGGAAATTTTTCTGATACATTTTTTATAGCAGTAATTAAAATTAGTCATTAATTTGAGTCCAGTAAGACAGATTATGCCCCAGAAAATTTCAGTAAATAAGAAATTCTAGTTTCTTCCAAAATAAAACATTTAAGTTACAATTATGTCGACAAGCAGCTAAAGACTGGGAAAATATGCAAAATGCAAAACATGAAAATTATGTCCCTACTGGATGCTAGTGTGCCAGATACCGTTACACTAAAAGCAAAACCCCTGCCTTTATGAATTGGACAGTATAATGAAGTGAAAAAGCAAACAAGATCATTTCATATTAAAGTACTCTTCAGCAAACTATAAATTGTTAGACACTGCAGTTAGGGAAACTGCATAATATTAAGGACTCTGAAGTCTGTTGTAGTGACACCTGAACCAAGAGCTGCAAAATGGGATGCACGTTAAGATGGGAGAACTAGGACATGAGTAAGAGCAAGGAAACTATTAGCAATTGCTTAGGGGTTTAAAATAGAGCAATAGTAATGGGGATGGAGATAAAAGTAGATGGACTCAAAATATTTTGAAGTCAGAAAAAAGATTTGCTGATTGGGTATGAGATAGAGAGGGCTCAAGGTTTTTGGCTTGTGAAATCATTTATTTAAATGAAAAACTGATGGAAGAACAGGTTTGGGAACTTTGGAATGTTAAGTTTGAGATGCAAAACCAGGTGGGAATGGTGACTTAGTGAAGTCTGTTTAAAATTGAGGGGGAGAAGAGTTAATCATGGTTATTTTTGTTTCCCTAAAACTAAGTACCCTATTTGGTATATATTATGTGCCCTGTAAATGTTTTCCAGTAAGAGGATGGCTATTTGTTTTCCAAGTTAAAATCCTTGACCTGAGGACAGCAATTCCCTAACAGCACAGTGCCTATGAAAGAGCTTTAGTCTAGGGGGATTTTGCTAATGCCACGGTGAATGATTTCTGGATGGTGAGACTGAGGCTAAAGGGTTAAACTGCATTTAGACCCTAAAAACACAAAAGGGGGAAACCCCTTATCTAAACTTTCCCTAAAACTTGATTTTACAAGTCTGGAGGCTTATAACCAATCTTGAGCTGAGCTCCAAGACAGGCTGGGTACTAAGAACCCAGAGGAAGAGGGAAGCACAAATTCACAACTCCAGTTATCTGAAGAAAAGCCTCTTCTTAGTTCATGTGTTAAGTTCCCAGTGATTAGCCAATGAACTTCAGATAACTCCACATTTCTTTGCCCCAATCCGCTGTTAGTCAAATATAACTACTTTGCTCTCAACCTTTGTTCCCCAAACCCATACAACCTCATTCCCTCTCTTAATTCAGGAGATGGTTTATTGGGACAGGAGTTCAGCCATCTCCTCAGAGTACAGGTCTTTGAAAATAATCTGTTTTCCTAAATCCAGGGCTGGCTTGTCCCTAATGTTTTAGTTGCAGGTGACAGCCAGACCTGAGTTCAGTATCAATGGTAACATTTTATCTGGCTTAAACTGTAAAATTATAATCTGTGCAGTGCTGAGACTCTCAAATGAAGGTTACTTTTTCTTTTGGCAGTAGTTTTATGCTGAAAGTGAGCACAAGGGTGGGGGAAAAAAAAAAAGAAAAACAATCCTTTTAACCTAGAATTCCTGGACCATTTACAGGAATGGTTTGCACCTGGACAACGCAGACATTAAGCAACTCAAACCCGGCAAATGAAAGCCAGTAACGAAACAAAACTTCCAACCACCAATAAACAAAGAGGTTCGAAATGAAGATGGAAGAACATTGCTAACTACTGAACATCTTTTACAGACATGGCTACGGAGTAGAACGACGGCCTTTATCTCCCACGATACTGAAAATGGTATTATTCGTATTCACCACCTATTTTAGAGAGAACAAAAACTCAAGTATCGCTCTCTTGACCTCAACTAGCAATTTAGAGTTCGCTTAGTGTTACCTTAGAGGTTTGTCTGAGCCCTTGCCTTCCCCACTATCCCCATGCAATGTACTTAATTCCACATAACGAGGACAGAAAATTTCAAAGGCATAAAATGGAAAACGCCACATCCACGACCAAAGTCACAGCACAAAACACCTGTCAGCCCTTCCTGTGCCAAAGTCAAGCAGGCCTTCGATCCTCACACCCACAGCTCACGTTCGCCTTCCAGTCCCTGGCTTATGGCCTAAGCTCATCCACAGAGGCTGAGCAGCGAGAACACCACACGGGCCGGCGGCGGCGAACAGACAGAACAGACCGTTCAAGACCACCCGCCCTCTCTCTAGGTGGAAGTGATTGTGAAGGATATAAGAAGGCGGGGCAGGACAGACGGCAGTTCCCGGCGGCAGAGCTCCTCCGGCCAGCCACTTAATTCTTCCAGAGGCACCGTGCCGGACGGGGCCTCCCGTTCCTGAGACATATTTCCACCCAGGAGCTCAGTTTCAAAACAGTCCCGCCACGGCCGACACCGGAAACGCCCACCGTCCCGGCAGGCCTTGCGAGCTCTCCGCCGACACCAGAACCATAGAGAAGAGGCTGCTGCGTTCCTTTGTATATAAATGTCTGCCCCCGCACGGCCGGGAAGACAGCCGGGCTTGTCTGGCCCGCGGAGGACTGGACTCACTGGTGCGCACTCTCAGTTCCGCGGACGTCAGGACGTCGCGACAGGTTCTAGGCTGGAGGAGCTGGGAGCACGCGGGCCACCAGCATTGCCGGGTGTGGATCGCAGTGCAGTTGCTTTGAGGTAGCGCGCTTTGGGGAGATGAGGACTAAAAGTCCCCAGATTTCCTACCCTCCCTTTGCTGGGGCTTTGGGATTGCACGTCTGGGGTGGGGTTTGACCAGGAATTTGGGGACTCCCAGGCCGGGGACTCAGTGATGTAGAAACTGGCAGATTCCTACTCACTGAACTGTGTGATCTTCCTCACATCACGTATTATGAGAATAGTACGAGATTGTGCCAATTGAAGCAGATGGCTTTTTTTGAACGTCTAGCACAGTGGGTGACAGAAAACTGTAAAGTTGCTTCCAGTTTCTACAAGTCTCTCAGAAACCACTTGGTTGCCTTTATTTGTGTTTGTTCGGCCATCAGTCGTCTCTTTAATAATTACTCCAAAATTGGCCACTCCCATACACTCAGGTCTTCCCTTCTCCACAAAATTATTTTAGTAAGGTCACGTGGATGAATTTACACACACCAGAGCATTCCTGTGCATGTTTTTAGAGAGATGCTCATTTATGAAAATAAATCTTATATTTGTTACTGAGAGGGTGAACTGAAAGATTCTAGCAGTTTAGAGGTAAATATGTTTAGGCATGTTCGCGGCAGGTGACAAGCCAAATAGCTAAGCTTGTCATTTTCTACCGTACAGTTTGGACTGGTTCCCCTATCCCCCATTATTACTGCTGCAGTTCTTTTGTTTTTTACAGTTTATTCTCTTCTCCAACTCTTGAAACGCGAAGTATCGATGTCTGTGTGTGTGTGTTATTCCAATTCTTTTTATTCCCCTCTCCGTAGATTTTATAGAAAAGGCTGTTATTTGGGGAGGGAGGGGCAGTTTAATATATTTCAGTGAAATGTATCAAATTGCCTTTTAATTTACTTCATTTTTTTCCCCCAGAGTTAAAGTGAAAGAAGAGCAAAGACTTCTAAAAGAGTAATTTGGAAACACCTCTAAATATTTGTAACAGTGTATAAGTGAATCCAAGGAAAACAGTTGAACAATTGAGGCAGTTTTATGTGTGTGTCACCAGTTCTATCCAGAAGTTGACAAATCGTCCTTTGAATTTTAGAATTCTGTACATTTGAGGATGACCTTTCAATTTAATTTCACTATAGAAGACCATCTGGGAAATGAATTAACACCCCCTAGAGATGCAACATTGACCCTGGATTCCTCAAAAGATTGTCCAGTCTCAGAAACTCAAAAAGGTAAAGAGAGGGACAGAAAATCCTCGCCCAGACAGTCTGACTTGCCTCTGGATCACTTGTGGGAACACAAGTCAGGGAGAAATGCAGCTTCCACTCAAGACACAGACAGTATACTCAGTGCTGCTAACGATTCAATTAACTTGGGGCTACCTGAAGAACAATCCTGTTTGAGAATTGCTAAGGAACACTCTGTGCCTAAAGATTTCAAGAAAGTATTAGAAAATAAAGTCATGGAAGCATTACCAGATCTCCAGAATATTAATCTATCAGTGGTGAAAACCATCCTGTTGAAAGAGAACTTCCCTGGCGAAGAAAACATAGTTTCAAAAAGCTTTTCTTCTAACTCTGATCTGATTACAGGTGTTTATGAAGGAGGCTTGAAAATCTGGGAATGCACCTTTGACCTCTTGGATTATTTGATAAAGGCCAATGTGAAATTTGCTGGGAAAAAAGTGCTGGATCTTGGCTGTGGATCAGGGTTGCTGGGTATAATTGCATTCAGGGGAGGAGCAAAAGAAATTCATTTTCAAGATTATAACAGTTTGGTGATTGATGAAGTAACCTTACCTAATGTAATAGCTAACTCTGCTTTGGAAGATGTAGAAAATGTAAACCAACCAGAAGCAAAAAAATGCAAAAAGTCAAAAATAGCACAAGACCTGTGTCAGTGCCGGTTCTTTTCAGGGGAATGGTCTGAGTTTTGTAAGCTTGTACTAAGTAGTGAGAAGCTCTTTGAAAAATATGATCTCATTCTAACCTCAGAAACCATTTACAATCCAGATTATTATGACACTTTACACCAAACATTCCTTCGATTGTTAGATAAAAATGGACAGGTGCTTTTGGCCAGCAAAGCACATTATTTTGGAGTAGGTGGGGGTGTTCATCTCTTTCAGAAGTTTGTAGAAGAAAGGGATGTATTTGAAACTAAAACACTTGAAATAATTGATGCAGGACTAAAGAGATTTCTAATTGAAATGACTTTCAGGTACCCCAGTTAATGTCGATTTAGTGTCCTAACTGAAATAAACAGAATGAAGAAAAACTTGTTTGATTTCTGCTTTAGAGTATTATTTTTCTGCTGTTATTATGTTTATCCAAATAAAAAGCCAGTGATATTGGCAATCTTGTACTTGTTAGGTGAAACTGAGGAAATAATGTCCCTGAGATTTGATAAGCATTTTGTGGGAGTTTTTAGCTCTCCACCTTCATGCTATTGACCTCACCTTTGACACATAAATTTGTTCCAGGAAACTCACTGTAGGGTAATGACTTTCAGGCCTTTCTGCCCTGTGCCATTAGGATTGCCCTGCCTGATGGGGCACCTGCATTTTGTTACATTGTTCTAAGTTGTGTTTACTTCTGTGGGCCATGGCAACAGTATTGAGATATTCTGTAAGATAAGCAGATGCAGGAAAGAGAAGGGGAGAAAGCACCAGAGAGTCCCAGAGTGAAGACTTGCTGGGGGCTTGGAGGCCTTCTGGCCTTCTGGCCTCTTGGCCACCCCCAGCACCCCTGCCTGCCGTGTACCTGGTTGCTGCACTACATATAAAAGCCTGAGAAAGCCACCAAGGGCTCCAGGACTCCTTTACTGGTCTGGTCTGCTCGAATCATAAGAAAACCTGCTCTATCCCTTCCTACCGCTTCACTTGCCTGTTCGTAAGTTTGATTTCTTCCCAGTCTTTTTTAGTTTTCGTTCATGTGAAGTGCCTGATCATATCACCATGCCATTAACTCTTAAGGGCATACATAGGTGTTATTAAATGGTACTAAATCTAAATATTAGGGTTGTAGGGTAAGTATTAGGCTTTTCTGCCCTCCCACCATTAGGATTGATGATGGATCCTTATGGTCCTGAATGCATGCCAGATGGCAGGCACCTGGAATAGGGTGTGGGCATATGTAGATAGGGTTCACCTGGGCTAAAACTGGGCTTATAAGGGCGGCATCACAGGGATGCCAGGAGAACCACGAGAAGCTGAGTGACCGAGAGCAAAAGAGAAGCAGAGACCACCAAGAATACCAGAGAGCCCAGAAAGAGTGAAGACTTGCTGCCTGCCAGCCTCCCAGCCCCCTGGCACCCCTCTTTCCTGACTCTGCTTCCCTTGGCAAATACGGCAATACTGCAGTCATGGCCCACAGAAGTAAACAATATAACTTACAACAATGTAACAAAATGCATGTACCCCATCAGGCAGGGCAATCCTAATGGTGGGAGGGCAGAAAAGCCTGAAAACCATTTACCCTACATCCATTTATATTCATTTATCAGTTGAATTCACATTGAGATGGAGGAAATGAAGGGAACTGTGTTAGAGAGTATGAAAATCACTTAGAATTTATAATATGGTAAACCCCTTGGAATCAAGAGGAGACCCTAAAGGGTTAAAAACAAAGAGTTAAAAACAATTCCAGATTCTAAGGAGTATAGACTCCTCACTGATTGTTAAATGAAAAGAGAAAGGGGAACAGTATTTTGAATCTAGTGTGAAAATTTTTACATTTAACATCTGAAATTGGAATCTGCCTTCTTAGCTATTAATGTAATTGAGAGTAATTCTTTCCTCCTTGCAGATATCTAAAATAATAGTACAACAGATCTAATGTGAACTAAACGTGGACATTTGTTAACTAGCCATTTTGTGTAGGATCTTTTTTTAAATAATAAATTTTATTTTTATATTCCCCATACAATTGCAACCCCCCCATTCTGACCCCAATCCCTCCCCTCCCGCACCCCACCCCCAAAAAGTGCCTCTGGTTCATAGTTTTTTGTTGATTTTGATTTTCACTCTCTTATAGTTATTCATTTTCCTGGTCCCTTATTTAAGTTTTCTAGATTCCTGCTATGAGTGAGACCATCCGGTATTTTTTTCTTTCTGGCTTATTTCGCTGAGTATGATCCCTTCCAGTGCCATCCATGTTGCTGCAAATTGCATGTGTTTATCTTTTTTGAATGCTGAGTAATATTCCATGGTGTATATGTACCACATCTTCTTGATCCAGTCATCTATTTTGGGGCATTTGTGTTGTTTCCAAAGCTTAGCTATTGTAAACAGTGCTGCCATAAACATAGGAGTGCAGGTGCTCTTTGGAATTGATGTTTCTGTGTCCTTTGGGTAAATACCTAGGAGTGGAATTGCTGGATCATATGGAAGCTCTATGTTTAGTAGGTCCAGAAATCTCCACACAGCTCTCCATAGTGGTTGGACCAGTTTGCACTCCCCATTTTGTGTAGGATCTTAATATAACCTTATGAAGTACCTATCATCCCCCTTTTAATAATGGTCTTAACTGGCTGATAGTGTTCAACATTTACTATACTCAGGGAAAAAGAACTTTACTAACAATTTCTATAAAGCTCTGGATTATATTCTAAATACTATCTTCATTTTACAAAGAAATTGACACTCAAGGAAGTAATTGGGCCCTAATAATTCCTCACCTTGAACTAGAATCTGAACTGAAATCTTTTTAAAAACTGCTCTTTTTCATCACCCCAGTATTCTTAACCTTACCAGTGTTTCTTTTACATCACAAATGTTTCTTAGCACCTTTTAATTCTGAAAGTCACAGTTAAATCAATTTATGTACATCATTGAAAAATTTGTATTGGCCTCTCCAGTGGTGCAGCAGGTTGAGCACCACGCCATGAAGCTGTCCGCTGCCTCTGCAGCACCAGTTTGATTCCCAGCTGGCCAGGGAGATACCCACATGGCGTGGTGGACCTCTCCTGTCTCACCCGCTGCTCCCCTCAGCAGTGTACTTCGGTCCTTCTGCCTGTTCTGCTCCCTGCTCTGTCTCTGGTGAATTCTCTCACCCTCCCGCGCCTCTGCCTGTACCCCAGTGTTTGTATAAATAAATCTTTCTTAAAAAAAAAAATTTTGTATTACACATAAATCCCTAGTAAACAAAATGATATACATAAAATGACATGAAACGTTATATAAGATGTATTATATAAGTATAAAATAATGTCATTTATGGGCCTCCCAGTGGTGTGGGAGTTAAGTCTCAGTGCTATGAAGCTATTGCCAGCCACTGCAGCATGCGTTTGATCCCTGGCCAGGGAGCTAACCCACATGGCACAGTAGAACTGTCTCACACACTGCTCCCCTCAGCAATGTATTTCAGTAAACCCACCTGTTCGGCTCCCCACTCTGGTAAATCCTTTCACCCAGGCCTCCCACCCATCTGACCTCCAGTTCTAAATAAAATAAATCTTTTTAAAAAGTCATTTATAATCAAATAATTTGTATCTCATCAAGTAAATGCATAATTGTGCCCATAGAGAAGAACATAGAAGTCAGATGCTGTCTCGGGGGTATGATTACTGCAAATGCCACAGCCACAATTCCAGACTAAGCTGCTAGATAAGTTAAAACAGGCCCTATCAGATGGGTTGGCTATTGAGGAGGTACAAAGCATTGGACAGAATCTCATGATGCAACAGCATCAATGATTTTGAGGCAAATAGGTATCTAATTCTCCAAGATGAATCAAATTCCCAATGAGGTGTCATCTGGGAGGCCTGTTCATGAGTAGAAAAACCTGAACAGTGACTCGGCACAATTTCAGCTCTTAGTTGGAGTATCCTATGAAAGCAGGAGTCAGAGCTAAATCCCAGTCTGGAAACTTGATAATTCTGGGCATTAAAGATAATATAATTCTGAGGCTGACTGATAGTCCAAAGGGATACTTCTACCTAAGCTAGCTAACAGCAAGAGACTTGCAATCCAGGGCCTCCCTGGTGGCACAGGTGGATGAACACCGCACTGTGAAGCTGTCCGCAGCCTCTGCAGCACGAGTTCGATCCCGGCCAGCCGGCGAGTATCCCACATGGCGAAGCAGACCTCTCCTGTCTCGCCCGCTGCTCCCCTCAGCAGTGTATTTCAGTCAGTCTGCCTGTTATGTTCCCCGCTCTGTCTCTGGTGAATCCTCTCACCCTCCCACGCATCTGGCCTGTACCCTGGCTCTTGTATAAATAAATAAATCTTTAAAAAAAAAAAAAGAGAGAGACTTGCAATCCAAATTAAGGCTACAAGTCACAGAGGAGCATGCATAGTATGCTTTCTTATGTAATTTGTTTAACAACCATTTAAACAGGCATATATTTTAAGACAATGAGTTTTAAAGTCCAATACTTGGGTTAAAATTCATTTTCCCTATCTGTAAAACAGGTTTTATAATAGTAGCTCCCTAACAGAGTTCATTGAAAGAATATATTTAATGTTGAATGTTTATAATGGTTTCTTCCACATGGTGGCCATGTATAATAAAATTTATTTTGTCCAAGAATTCACATAATATTTAGCCATCCTCTTTGTTCAATCAATAGGAAGTCTCATGCACTGCTCTTAAAATATTGGGTGTGTAATTTTACAGTGGACAAATCACAGTTCAGAACCCAGAAAAAAAAGTAAGTTCCAGACCTTGTGTTACGGGGCAACCCCAGTGTGAAATGGGTTGGCTGGACTGTGGGTCCTCACCCAAGCTCATTTACCCTCAACACTTGCACTGCCCATCTCTGACCCCATTGTCCCCAGAACACCCCCTCTTCCACCTTCACCTCACCTCCCCTACCCAATCCATTTTGGATGTGTTTTTGCTGCAGATCTTTAAGGGTAAAGATGACTGCATCTCATAGAATTGTTCCTAAAACTCATGTTTTGTTCTGCCTTTAAATTTCCCATTTCTCAGATGGGCCTGTACCCTTAACTGCAGTTTTATGTCCCCTAGGTGGTTTGCTTTTTGCTGAAGGTTCAGAAACCTAGGGGTTGGGGAATTGTCTTCACACTGCCAGGAATTGACTCACTTCCTTGTATTAAAGGCAATTGCTAATAACACGTGTTGTAGTGTCCTCAAGAGACAGCTGCTCAACTGAAGAATACACTTCCAGAGGAGAAAACACCTTACTTTCAGTCCCTTCCATAATGTTTTATTCAGGTACTTAGGGGAAAAAGTTATTTGAAAAAGGAGTAGCTAAGGAACTAACACTTGCTTCACTGTGAACTTGCTTCATTGTCTCTGTGTCAGCCAGAAGTTCCTGAACTTCTAGTTGTGTTATGGTGACATTGTGATGCTGATAGTAAAGCTTTTATCTGAATACAGGGCACATGCAAAATCACCATCATAATTTGGGTGCAGCCCAGCAAAGAAATTGCTCTGTGCTATGAAAGACACTTCACTGCAGCACAGAGAAGCACATTTATGACATAGGATGGTGGGGGAAACCACAGCATGCTCTCACCAGCGATAGCCTCCCGCCGTTTGATTTCTGTCTTTTTAAGAAATTAAAAGTGTACTCAGATAACCTTTAAAAGTAGGTTCATCATCTATACAGGAAATTGTCAAAAGGAAGTGCTTTTTCAGGAG